AATGTCTACTCCTCTAAAATAAGGGTGTCAATATTTGACACGACCTGAAAACTATATCCGAAAATTTTCGACGGTGTAAAATCGGTTCGGGTCTGGTAAAAAGAGTTGGGTCAGATTCGAGTTCGACCCAAAACCCTTTTTTGACTACCCTCCCCTTAGGGTTTTTTTCCTGGAGCTCTGCTTAGGTTTCCCTCGCCCCACTGGGGCTTCCCCCTCGATGGCCCCAGTGATCTCAGTGATTTTCTGGGAAGTTCTCTCTTCCTTGTCTAGTGTTTCTCTTTGGTTTTTGACTTTATTTTTGTTTTCCATCTCCGGCGTGTGCCCAAAATGGCGTCAAATCGCCTGTGCGATTCTGGTTTTTTAGAGGATTCATTTAAATCACGTTCATTTTTGGAAGCTCTTGTTGGATCTTCTTCTGTTGCTAACTTTCCGGAACTTAAGACTTCCTCCTTTCGCGGCTTACCTTCCCTGTGAATTTCGGAGCAGGAAATCTAATCTTTGGCTGTTCCATTTTAATTTTACTTAGTTGTTTTTTTTTTCCTCAAGACGCCCCTCTCTTAATTCCATTCACAGATCTCCATCCCTCGCCAATGTCCTTGCACACCTCTATATTTCACGAGTTATCGTGCCTTATATTTTTAAAATTTAAATTCATTTTAAGTCCAATCAAACAACTAAAAAGATATGTTAAATATATTCTACATTGTATTTATTAAATTATAATATGATTGCTCAATAGCCACAATTAGATAAAGCCATAAAAGTGTGACGTCTACTGAATGTTTAGTGAAGCTGGTGGGATCACTACTCACTAGCCGTCTACAAGGATAAGTAGGCCACACCACATCACTGTACCGGCTAAGTCCACTCCTCATGTAAACCTTTAATCTCTTCTACAATGAATTAAAAATTAAAAAAAAAAACTTTTTTTATTAAAAAAAATAATTTTTATAATGACCCCACAGGAAAACGACTTCCTAACGCCAAGCTATATTTCCAAAATTTATATTTAAAAAAAAAAAGCAGGCTAGTGACCCTCTTTGATGGCGAATTATTACGTCCGGTTACCGGACGTCCTGACATCCAATTCAGATGCGCCACGTCACCCAAATATACTGGGACCCGATGTATTTTGGTGATGTGGCGCATCTGAATTGGTGTCACCGGACGTAATAATTTGCCCTCTTTGATAGTCCACAAACTCAAAATAAAATCTCTACACATAAATTTTCACTTCCCAATAATTCCCGGTAGAAAGAAATAGCAATGTATTAAGGTTTCGTTTGGACAGCTTTCTTGTTGATTTTTAAGGTAATTTTTTAGTTTAAAAATTTTTTAACTAAAATTTTTTGTATGAAATAGTTGTTTTAAAAAGTAGCAATAAAGCCGTTTCAAATGAAGCCTAAGAATCTGATGAGATTTTGATTAGTATTTTGAATAGTTATAGAAACAAAAATTAGGCAAGAAAATGAGTGTAGTAAGTTGTTTGGATGATTGGTACAAAGAGAAAAGGCCAAAAGAACATGATTATTTTCTTGATGAATGTGGCAAATAACAAGACCCACATTATGGCTATTACTATATTTTAGCCAAACGATTAGTAAAATATTAGCTTGATCCGCTTGAGCATTAACATATTCATGTTCAACTATATGGGAAGGAAAATGATCAATAGGGACATAACATAATAGATGGAATATTTTGACCATCCATAATGTTAGTTGCATTGCTAGGTATGATGAAGCGAGAGAGAGAGAATACAGTATTGAATATTGATGTGAACTTGACCATCTTCATCATGAGCTTGTGTATTATTGGTTCTACCAAGCCTTAGTTGATAGCATTATGATGTTCTAATTATAGAAGCTTTTCTACATCAACTAATCATATAGCAAACAATGTGACAATACAGAGAGTGTCTTGGAATGTTCTTAAAAAATATTTTCTATCGATACTCATAATCATAGGAATTTATAATCTAGATAAGATTCGACAAATTTTGAGTAAAATTAATTTTCATCAACATTTGGGCAAACGAATGCTTAAACAAATTTATAGTAGACATATCACATTACAGGAAAAAGCAGGCTAGTGACCCTCTTTGATGGCGAATTATTACGTCCGGTGGACATCCAATCCAGATGCGCCACGTCACCCAAATATACTGGGACCCGATGTATTTTGGTGATGTGACACGTCTGGATTGGTGTCCGCACGAATCCGGACACCGGACGTAATAATTTGCCCTCTTTGATAGTCCACAAACTCGAAATAAAATCTATACACATAAATTTTCACTTCCCAATAATTCCCGGTAGAAAGAAATAGCAATGTATTAAGGTTTCGTTTGGACGGCTTTCTTGCTGTTTTTTAAGATAATTTTTTAGCTTAAATTTTTTTTAACTATAATTTTTTGTACGAAATAGTTGTTTTAAAAAATAGCAAAAAAGCCGTTCCAAATGAAGTCTAAGACTTCCTTTGTAATAATTTTCTTATTATTTTCTAAAACAATTTTTTAATATAATTTTTTTTAAAATTAAAAATTATTGTACTAAAAAACTTATTCATAAAATAATAGAAAAACTACCCCAAATAAAATCAAATACTTCATTTGGGTAGACTTTTTTATTGTTTTCTAATAAAAAATATTTTAAACTAAAAATTTCTTATTGAAAAATAAAAAAATCATCCCAAATGAAATATAAATCTTTCAATCTGATAAATTTTAGAGAGGCTTATTATCCTTTAATCTGATGAGATTTTGATTAGTATTTTGATTAGTTATAGAAACAAAAATTAGGCAAGAAAATGAGTGTAGTAAGTTGTTCGGATTATTGGCACAAAGAGAAAAGGCCAAAAGAACATGATTATTTTCTTGATGAATGTGGCAAATTTTGGCCGAAAGATTAGTGAAATATTAATTAGCTTGATCCGCTTGAGCATTAACATATTCATGTACAACTATATGAAAAGGAAAATGATCAATAGGGACATAACATAATAGATGGAATATTTTGACCATCCATAATGTTAGTTGCATTGCTAGGTATGATGAAGCGAGAGAGAGAATACAGTATTGATGTGAACTTGACCATCTTCATCATGAGCTTGTGTATTATTGGTTCTACCAAGCCTTAGTTCATAGCATTATGATGTTCTAATTATACAAGCTTTTCTACATCAACTAATCATATAGCAAACAATGTGACAATACAGTGAGTGTCTTGGAATGTTATCAAAAAATATTTTGTATGGATACTCATAAGTCATAATCATGGGAACTTATAATCTAGATAAGCTTCGACAAATTCTGAGTAAAATTAATTTTCACCAACATTTGGGCAAACGAATGCTTGAACAAATTTATAGTAGACATATCACTTTACAGGAAAACTGTTCATTAATTACCGGTGAATTTTCCGGCGGCTTTTCGGTGGATTTTTTAGTGAATTTTCGGTAGATTACAATGAAATATTTATGATTGATTTTTAGGTAAATTTTTCGGCAGGTTTCCGAAGGCTTTCAGGCGGATTTTTTGATGGATTTTAATAATTTCTGAAAAATATTATATATCGCATAAATGTAACAAAAAGGAGGGTAAACGAGATCCAAACACGAGCAATTTGAAATTTTTGCAGGGGAATACAGAGACTTTAGACCCTTTTTTTTAATCTCATGAAAAACTATATATATATTTTTTCAATTTTGTAATAAAAATAGTAGTACTCAATTCTAATAAATTTTAAGTAATATGTTTTGGGTTGATGAAAACCACATTGACTTCTCCCATGAGTTTGGATAGTTTGTAATGGATTATAGTGAAGGACTCCTAGTCCAAAACTTATGAACTCAAGTTAAAGAGGCTTAATTTGAAGGAATAATAATTGCTAGTTTTTTAGAAGTGAAGATGACGTGAGAGTTTGAATGTTGAAGTTATTGAAATGAATTTGAGAGATGAGGAGAGGTTACTTTTACCACATATTGCACTAGTAAAAAAAATAACAATCATTTCCTTCAGCTGAAGGCTTAGAACAAACTACCTCTAGTAAACAAAGACACCAAAAGAGGCAATATAGGAAGGGAGAAATCCCTTTCGATGGTTGTAGGAATCATGAGTTAGTGACGACGATGTAAAGAGGGTGTCAATGTCACAAGAAGAGGTTCGAAGGATAATGTTGGTGCATAGGAGATGCATAATAATATTAAGTACATATAATAGAAGATCAATAAATCGAGGAGGTAGTTATGGTGGGTGGTTCTTGAGTGGGAGATTGATGAAAATGTTGTAGAAATTGATGGAGTTTCTTCAGTAGGACAAGAAGGAAGAAGACCCGGTTTATCCAACAAAGAAAGCTATGTTATCTTATTATGAATCAAGAGTACAAGTATTATATAGGCTAAGTAGCTGTACATTAGGAAACATAAAAGGCAGCATAGGAAAATGTATTTATTTGTCATTGAGGCTCTAATAAATGTGAGACCAACATATACTCGTGTCGAACGTAACAGGGCGACGATAATTCTTTTCGTGAGAATAACAAAGATATGAAAACCGAAAATGTGGCAACTAGCTACACTCAATGGGATAGAATGTTAAGCTTGGTAGCAAGAAGCGATATTTTTGATGTGGCAGGTAGAGCGCCCTTCTTTTAAGGATGATGTGATTCATTGATTATTGACCCACTCATTTTTCAACAAAATTAGAGGGATTTACATACACGTAATTGAATTCATATGTATTTACATACATAACATCTTATATTTATCGTCATTTAAACATTTATTTTATTTTTGTTAAGCCAATATTAATTGTATATATCCTAATAAAAATTTTGATTAGCATAAATATCAAAGTTCTTACATTTATTTGAGATTTATACAATATTAATTACATACATATTTTACATTCATTTCTAAACAAATTTAAGAATTTTGGGGCTGATTGTGATTTTTTTATTAGAGCAGAATGATATAAAATTTTTCTAGAAATATGTCCCCTCTCTCGACTCTCGATCTCTCTCTCTCTCCCTCACACGCACTCAAACATCTACAACTACCCGTTACCTCCACTTCCCCCGCCAAATCTCTCTTCTTCACCACATCCAGCCATGGACAATCTCTTCTTCCACCTCCTACTCCTCCTCCTCACCACCACCACTTTCTCCACAGCCGACGACTCCACCTCCTTCATCTACGCCGGCTGCTCCCAACCCAAATACGCTCCCAACTCCCCCTACCAATATAACGTCGAATCCCTCCTCACCTCCCTCGACAACTCCGCCTCCTTCTCCTCCTACTCCAACTTCACCTCCTCGGCCGCTTCCCCTTCCCCTCCCATCTACGGCCTCTTTCAATGCCGCGGCGACCTCCCTCTCCCCGACTGCTCCGCCTGCATCCGCTCTGCCCTCTCCCGCCTCTCCGCCCTCTGCCCCTCCGCCGCATCAGCCGCCGTACAGCTACGCTCCTGCTATCTCCGTTACGGAAACGACTCCTTCCTCGGCCACCCCGACACCGCCCTTCTTTACAAAACTTGCTCTTCCGGCCTTGACTCTGGCGTTGACTCCGTCGACTTCCTCGTTTCCAGGGACGGTGCGTTCTCGTCGCTGACCGGAGCCGGTTCGTCGTACAGGGTGGGTACGGCCGGTGGGGTCCGGGCGGAGGCGCAGTGCGTCGGGGATCTTAGTGGCGCGGAGTGTTCGGATTGCGTGGGGGCTGCGGCAGCGCAGGTGAAGGCTTCTTGCGGCGGCGCCGCCTCCGGCGAAGCTTATTTGGGGAAGTGTTATATCAGGTATTATTCGGTTGGAGCACGGCCGTATGCGTACGGTAATGGAGGAAGTGGAGGATCCGCCGGCGGCGAGCACGGTATGGTTTCTTATTATCACCGTTGGTGGATGTACTACTGCTGCTATAGTTTTCTTTTCTATTGTGCTTTGTTTTGTTAATTAAGGAGTTATGTGTTGTTTAATTATGTTTGGCTAATGAGTATTGTGTCAATATATAAACTTAGGCTTTGTTTGTTTGAGCGTTTTTTTGCCTTTTCTGGTAGGAAACGGAAGATTTTTTTTTTCTTTGGTTCGTCAAATCACGTTCCCAATAACTCCATTTTTTCATTTTTCTGTAATTTTGAGAAAGCTTTTTATATATGTTTCTCCGTTAGAAAACTCCATTTTCAGAACTAATATTTTTTAAAACTATCTTTTACAAAAGCATAAATTTTTTTTTTTGCTGAGTGGAAGATTTGCTTTGAAACAACCATTTCTTTTTATTTATTAGTTTTTTAATCTTTAAATTGCAATTTTTGATATTTTTATTTATCATATAATGCAAAGAATTTCTTAAAACTAAAAAATATAACATATGATGTAATAATTGTTCAAATTAAATAATAATAAAATGATTCTATTCAAATTATTTAATATTTTTATAAAGAAAAAATAAATAAATAAATTATTAAAGATAAATTTCAATTATCTTTTTAAAAATAAAAAATAGTTTATAATTTTCAATTTTTAACCGGTTCATTATTTCATTATTTCTATCATTGATATTTCTTATAACTACAACATATTATTGTTGAAATGATGTGATTCAAGTGATAAGACATGCATATATGGTTACTATAGGTGATAAAGTGCTAGTAGTACTACTCCTAATGCAAAAAAGAACATGTTTATGTGTGACTTGTCGCATGCATGGTCATCCATCTTAAGTTAAAAAAGTTTTTTTTGGGACATTTAGGCTTATTAAGATAATCTCACGCATACATCACATAAGTAAGACTCTGACTCAAGACCCCTTGATTAATAGTCAGCATATGATGTTCTTTTTCTTATGCCTCTGAATCCAGAAGTACTTGCTGAAGCTCAAGAAACCACCAGACCTTGTACGTCTGTAACAGTTACAATTGTCTTTTTGAAACTTGAAACTCCCAACCAACAAACTAAGATGAACAGTGTTACTTTATAAAGTTTAAAGTAGAAAGTAAAAGCTAATAATTACTTTATTGTTAGCTTTATGACTTTCAAAAAGAGGTCATGAATATTCAAGTCCTTCATTCATCTATAAAAATATTTGAATAATAATCAATTATTTCATGTCATCAAAGTGGATATTCTTTATTAGTAATTGGTGATAATCATACGATCTATATTCTTGTAATCAATCAAAGCCTTCCTAGCCTATGCGGTCGATTCGAACTTCGAAAGTTCTATTATTGTCATGGAGACATTTTTTTGATGACTTTACTTTGAAGAAATAGCACACTTTCTTTAGATCACCATAATTAGCTTTTGATGAATAACAAATTATTAAGGAAAGAAACTTTACTCTTTAAGACTTTTAAGGTTTCCAATAGTATAAAGTAAAGGTTTTATCCAAATATTAGGAGGGTTCAAAATTTTCATCATCATTTATGTGAATGCCTATTTGCCAAATAAATGAATTCACTTATTAGAATAGTCCACATAAAATTCTTTTCAAATTGTTCATCATAGACTGAGGTTTTGTTTGGAACAGTTTTTTTAATGCTTTCAAAAGTAGTTAGTACAAAAATTTCTTGTTCAAGCTAAAAATTTTTGTACTAAAAAATTAATTTAGAAAGCAATAAAAAATCGTCCCAAATGAAACCTGAATCACTTCATAATAGCCTTACTGAAATACGAAGACTCCTATATTCCTTTAATGTGTTTGTCCTCCCAAGCCAAGTTCTTTCAAAGCTTTAAGACAGATTTTTCTAATTTGAAAGATAAAATTTTATCTATAAAAAAAAACTATAATTAATTTATTTGTTGTCATGCGAACAAAAGATATGTCCCTCAATGAAAAAAATCTTGTAGTTGAAGAAAATAAAATTAATAATTACTTTCAAGATAATTATTAATCAAAATAATGTAAATTATATAAGATGAGCTTAAAAGTTCTTGGATTTGCTTTGATATTAGTACAGTTTGATTTCATATACAAGCTGCATTAATCTTAAAGCAAATCCAATGACTCATAAACTCATCATAATACTAATTATATCATAAAATTAATACCCTAATTGTTTTTTTTTTTTAAAGTATCCAATCCAAAGGGGTGAGGCATTACTAACCTTTTTGTTAATATTCCTACATTATGTGACCTTTTAATTCAAAAACTATAGGCAAAGTATATTCACATGATTCCCACTGCTAATCTTCCAGCCAAGCAACTTTTCTCATTCTCAAAAGCTTCTTTTTCCTTATGACGAATCTGAAAAATAATTTTTTAGTAAAAAAAAATTAATTTTTTACTAAAAAATTACTTTAAAAAATAATATATTACTTTATAAGAAGATTATCCAACACAAATATCCATCTGTTGATGAAATTGTCAAATTCTGGCTGTTAGTTCTTGTTTATTAAAACAATTTTATTTGAAGGATTATTTTACAATGTAAATTATTTGTAGCATTGCTTAAATTGTAATTATTTTATTTATTTATATTTTTTTTTTCAGATGAAACTGGGAAGACACTGGCAATTATCATAGGGCTCATGGCAGGGGTCGCATTGATTATAGTTTTTCTCTCCTTCATTAAAAGGAGTGGAAATGGTGAGTTATAATTTCAATATTTTTTGCTAAATGGAATCTTAAATTTAGGATTTGTTTGGAACAGCTGCGGCATTTTATAAAATTATTTGTGAAATTTCTATAAGGAAAGCAACTTAGGTTTCGTTTAGGACGGCTTTCTTACTGCTTCTTAAAGCAGCTTTCTAATACAAAAGTTTTAATTTTGTACCAAAAAGCTGCTTTAAGAATAAAAAAGAAAGCCGTCTCAAATGAAGCCTTAGTTATTATGATTATGAAAAGCAGTTTTTCAGTATAGAAATTTATGAACAACAGTATGAAAACAACAGGAAAGCAATATGTAAACGAAATTGTGATTGTTATATGAAAAATAAAATAACGAGAAAGCTGTCTCAAATAAACCGTTTGTCTAAAAAATTCTTGAAAAAAATCAATTCCTTAATTCTGAGATACAATCATTCATATGAGGTAAGTAATTAAGTGAATGCTTAATTATCTTTATTAATTATCTTGTGCTTAATTTTCCTCCATAATAGTTTTTGTTTGATTTTCCATTTTTACAGGTAAATACTGAGCAGAAATCCACTACCTGTTGTTGGCTGCTTTGCTCTGAGCAGTCAGTGTGGCTACTTTCACTCTTCTCCCTTTAGCTTTAAGATTACTTTCCCTACTTAATTTTTATAAAAGGAAAGGTAGTGAATGGTGGTGGTGGCCATAAATAAGTGAAGCAGGACAAGTTTACAAAGATCTGAGATTCCAAACCCACCAGCTTCATGTATCATTTTTTTATATAAATAATTGTTTCTTGTATTATTATTATTACTATTATTCCCTTTATTTCCTTCAAATATATTTTCAGATCAGATTTGGAAGTATCATATAGGCATTTAATGTATTTTATGTGTTTGTGAATTTCGAAATTATGTAATTGAGAATGGATTCAAAGTTTTAATTTTAATATTGATGTTTGTTTCTCTAAATTTAGAAAGCTGTCCCAAACGAAGCTTTTTTATTACTTTCTAGTACGAAAAATCCTAATTCGAAAAAATTTTGTACGAGAAGATGCTTTAAAAGTGGTAAGAAAGTTGTCACAAACAAAGCCTGAGCCTGTTTTTCTTATTGCTTTAAAAATCAGCGTTTTAAGAGCAAGAAAGTTGTGCCAAACGAAAACTAAGGCTCAATATTTTTTTCTGATAGAAACTCTTCTTATGCATATATAAATTTTTATGTGAGAATTTTTTTGAAGGTTTATTCATAGAATTTTTATAACAAATTTCTCAAGAAATTTTTTTCTTGTTAGAATAGCTCTTCTCATGGAGAGATTATTTTGTGTAGTCACCGGACCGTCTGGAGATGCATCAAGATGTGCCACGTCATTCAATACAAAGCGGTATATAGTACCGGTACACATCAAAAAAAATAATGTGGCGCATCCTGATTTACCTCCGGACGGTGTACGGTTACTACACAGAATAATTTCACCTTCTCAGAAGGATCAACGGGTCAAAATTATCTAATTATTTTGGACTAATTTGAATAACTAATTGGGCCGGTCTCAAGAGATGAAGCCTGAAAAATTTGAACCAATTCATTCATAAAAATAAGAAACAAACAAAATTCAAGTAAAATATAAATTATGTTATATTACAGAAAAAAATAACATTGTGATTAAAGACCCTTACCATTTACAAAATGCAATTATTTTATTGCACGCATTACTAATCATTTTCCTTTACTCAATCAAATTGTTATTTTGATATTTATATAGTTATATTGAGGGTGGCAAAGAGCTAGCTGATAGCCTACATAAGCTCTAACCCATGCACGGATGAGATGCCAAATCCAACAGATAGATTTTTACTAAAGCTTCATGACAATTTTCTTTCTGCTTCTTAAAATAATTTTTTAGTACAAAATATTTAATAAGCTGTCCGAAACGAAGCCTAAGTAGATTAAGAGCTACAATAACGTGGGAAGATGAATATTTGATCGGGATCATTATCCATTTAACCGATCCTTAAAATAGTCTGCCCTCTTCATAGTTTTAGTCAATTCATTCCTTAAGATAAATATTGCCTCTTTAGATTAAATGCCTTAGGTTAATTCTTGTTCTCTTAGGATAGCCATCTTCTCTCTTAGGATTAGTCTTTTCTTTTCCTTAGGCTTAGTTAGCTTACAATCTTCTCCCTTAGGATTAGTCTTCTACCCTAGGATTAGTTTGCCTCCTTAGGACAAATCTTCCTTCTAAGAATTAGTCTTTCTGCTTTAGGGTAGACTCTTGTCTTAAAATGGTTATCTCTTCATTAGGTTATTATCCTCAGGGTCATCTATCACTATCCTACTATCTTTTATAGGTCTATGGGTTATAGAGCTTCCATTCCCTATCAATTTTGAGAGAAATTGTTACGTGCGGAGTTAGGATGGGAGATACATTCGGAATTTGTGAGGGTACACAACAAATACACAATTTTATTTTTTTTAGTGTATTTACTGTGTACCCTCACAAAATCCGGACGCATCTCCCATACGGAATTCACACGTAATAATCTCTCTAACTTTGATGAGCTATAGCCCTAGGATTTTCTAATGATCCAAATATATCTGATGTTCTAGAATATATGACTTGTTATTCTTGAAGTTTTCTTCCTTGAATTTTATTCGCTTGAGTCCGTATGTCAAGATTATATTTTCAAAATTAAAACAAAGTAGAAAGAATGATTTATTCTTACTCAAAACTTAGATTAATATGACCGTAATCATATTATTTTGTCTCCGTCTCCTTAAAAGTTTATCTATGCCCTTCACCACATAAAAAACACATCTACAAACCTTAATGAGCCCTAGCATGTCTTAGAATTTCTCCATCCTCACCTACATCAAGGATTGCTTAATTGATTCTACTTCATTGCGCATAAATTCGACTCATCTCTTTATTTTTAGGCTATTTCATTCCTTTTTGGTACAGATCAATCAATCACCATTGAGTAAACATAAATAAAACACAAGAAAAAATTTTTAACCATGTGTTTTTCCGCACTCTCGAAAATATAATTAACCCTAAGAACAATATTCTTTTGAGAAATTTCAACCCCAAAAACTCTAAATTCATAAGGATGAAAAATCTATATGATTCAAATGTCTAACTTACTTACCATTGATATTTCAAATTCATAGTATAGTGATCTAAAATTAGTCCTCTAAATTAACTCATCAATATAATAATCACAAATCAATAATCCTCTATTTTCAACTCCCACTTCTAATATTCCCTTAAAAAAAAATCGTACTCGCCCTAAAACAAAATAGTGAATAAGAATTTCTTAACAACACTACTCCGACAATTGAGTAAATGAAATATATATGAGCAATAAAAAAATATATGCTTAATATATTCAAAATCTCCATACCAAAATAAGTGTTTACTATCCACAATTATATTCCATTTATAGGGCTGGACAATCATCTTTAAATTAATGATTCGTTGAAACGGCTTTTTTATTGCTTCTTAAAACGGAGTTTTAGTACAAAAATAATAAAAAAGCCGTCCCAAACGAAGCCTAAATGTACATATATATTTACACAACTCATGTTGTTCCGTTGAATGAGAGCTTTTGGTTATCAATCAAGAGGTCATTGGTTCAAAGTTTACATATGTGATGTGTGTATGACTTTATTTTTAATTGACTCAAAAGTCCCGGCTAGGAAAGTTGAGGTATTAGATTTGACTTATGTTAAGAAAGGTAGACGTAGACCTAAAAAGACTTGGTTAGAAAATATTAGAAATGATCTTTCTTTATTAGATTTAGATGAGAATTTGACTTTTAACCGGACACAATGGCGAAAAAGGATGTTATTGTTATTGTTGTTGTTGTTGGCTCAAAAGTCCCACCCCCATATATATATAGATATATATTTGACCATAGTTGGGCAGGCAGGTGAGTGTAGCAATTCCATCAGAAAATAAGCTTTGACCTTACAATGTTCAAATTTATCATTTCAAACATTTGACAGTCTAATTACATATAATAATGTTTTTTATGTTTTTAGGTTTGACAAATGTCATTCGAAATGTCATATAAGTTTGACTTTCATAAGTCAAATAAAAATCAGTAGGATTTTCGTAATTTAAAATTATATTAGCATATTTAACTACTTCTATCTTATTGTTCCAAAATACATTATATAAACAATCTTTATTAAGGTGTTTTTAATTTAATTTGTACCTTTATTAATGAGTACTTTAGCCATTATATCTATTGAATAAAGCTAAAATGCCCAAATAAACCTTTAATAAAATTGTAATACCTTTTCTTTTGCTATATGCTATTAGAGCAATTGCACTAATAAATACATAAATATTTATAAAATTTAAGGTTTCGATTGGAACGACTTTCTTACTGCTTATTAAAATAATTTTTTAGCAAAAATAATTTTAATATTAGAAATTAATAAGAATATTGTCTCAAACGAAACCTTAGTTTGTTAAAAATCATTACAAAATATTTACGAGTTATATTCCTACACATTTGGTCAAAATTTTTAGAATATTCTAAAGCTATGATCATCATTTCGAGCCATAGTCGGTCACCCGTCTGATCTCTCGCGTGTTAGGCTTCTCCACCATGTCTCCCAGATACCTGATCTTTCCAGATGAAGCCATTAATCACCCTTTTAGAACCTATTGTTGACTTTCTTTGTTGATTGTCATATGAATCCTATCATCTATCAATATCTAATATTTGTTAGCCACCAGTCATCACCATCTAATCATGCTCACTTTCTCAACTACCTAGAGAAAGTAATTTTTTTAAAAGTCGTTATAGAAAATAATTTCAATACAACTATTTCTAAAAAACAATAAAAAATACGTAGTCAAATAAATTTATAATTTCGATCTAAAAAGCAAAGCAGGAAGAATGATATAACTGGAAAAAATATCCGAGAATTCTACTAATTGTATCGGTGTGCTCACCCAACTAAAAAAAATTTGTTTCATCTACAAATATTTCATAATCATTCACATATCTAAGATTCATTTGAACCAAGACTGATTCTACCTGGTCCCACCAAATCCCACTAACGATTGGTCCCTAAGTCCACATTCCACCCAATTGACTTGGTCCAAAGTGCTGCATTTATCATTTCACTCGCCTAAATCGGCCCAAAAGTTGTCTTAAAACTATCTAATTGCTGGAACTTTTATTACGTCCGGTGTAAGGACGTAGGAACGTCCGGTTGGAGGCAAAATCCCGCCAAAAAACTCGGTATTTGCTTGATACAACTAAGTATTATTTGATATTAACGAGGAATACCGCTCTTTGAAGACCAATACCGAGTTATACCGAGCTGTACCGAGAAATACCGAGTTATACAAAAGTTGTACCGAGTTTTTCTAGGAAAAACTCGGTACTTTTGTATAACTCGGTATTTCTCGGTTTAGCTCGGTATAACTCGGTATTGAGTCTTCAAATGATGATATTCCTCGTTATTGTTTGGTATTGCTCGGTATTTGCTCGGTACAACTCGTTTTTTGGCGGGATTTGGCCTCCGACCGGACGTTCCTCTGCGTCCGATCAGATGACGTAATAATTGTTCTAATTGCTAGGTTGCACTTAGTCTTTCAAATATAAATAAAATTAAAATGTTTTTTATTATATTTAAAAACATAATATTCTTATATAATTTTCAAGAAAAAAACAATATTTATTTGGTTGTAATTAAAAATCAAGATCGGCTCTACGCTTTAAAAAATTCTCTTAAGAATTTATAAATATAATTATTTTCATTTTCACACAATTTTTTAAAATTAATAATAATATATAATGATGTGATGCGCCGTCGGAAGCCCGTTGGTTAACTAAACGCGATCAAATCAACGGTCAGATTTCACCGTTGGGTTAACGAAGACTTAGTCCATTTTTTTATTGCCCTTAACATTCTCTGAAACTTATTTGGAAAATGGGTCCCCCTATTAAGCGTGTTTCCAACTTTCCACAACACATTGAATTTTCTTTTTCTTTTTCTGTTTCTTTATCATTAATTTTCGAAAATATAGCAAAATAAATCTTTGAAAGTTTCCATAAAAATAAAAAAATAATAATTTTCATAATTGCTTGAATTTAGGGTTAAATCAACAGTTCATAATCGCAGTTGGAAGAGCTATTGTTTATTGTAAAGAGATTGATCGTTTTGTATGTGAGTTCTTATATTTATATTTTCTTATGTAAGAAAATATTATTGAGCATTCTCTATTGATTTTCTTGGAGGAAATATTCAAAATTATCAAATTTAATGAATATATTGTATTGCTAAAAAATATAAGCATAAAAAATTAATAGTAACGACGGTGAAGTGTTTTTAACCTCACTGTCTATTTATTAAAAGAGGATGTTGTTTTTTATGAGGTTTAAGTCACATATTTTATGGTGCATTGCTCAATATCGATGACAATTGTCAGAAGACGACTACAGAAAAACAATGATGATTTGCTGACAACGGATGTCAATAGTCGTCAATCTTGGATGCTGGCAAGCGAGCGAAAGCAATTGTTTATCTGAATTGATAGTCAAAGATTTAAGCTTCTTTAAATTTAAGAACTCTTGACTCTAGGTACTTTTATGTATGAAATAAAATAGTTTTTTAAATTTTTTTTAGTGGGCATATTAATTATTCTTGCTAAAATAACAAATACTATAAAACGATTCATAATTATCTGCTATGAATATTTGATATTTTCTTAACATTTGAATGCTTTAATAATATCAAAATTTAACAACATTGAACTCATTAGATTCACCACATAGGAATAAACGGTTTGATTAAAAATTTAATAAAAACTAAAGTTCTAAAGGTCTAATATCAAATTTAATAATTCATATATATATATATAATCTTTTTTTATTGTTGATATACTCATTATTCATTTTGAATCTCTTAGTTACATATATGCGGAATATTAGAACATTATAACACTGATCAAATATTTTTTATAATTTTTTATAAATTACATATATGCGTAATATTGTGATAAAAATGATATTTTTTTATTAAATTAAATAAAAATTTTACTCTTAATAAAATATAATTGAGAAAGAAAAACATTTAAGCTACCCCACCTAGTGAGTGAAAAGGCTTATAGTTTTAATTATTTTAGTATAAATAAACCTAAATAATTGTATCTTTAACGGATTTATAACAAATAATAGCGTTACGGCCTTACGGGGGTTTCTGACCATTTCACCCATTCCTATATATATAGCGTTTAGGATTTCGCTCGTTCCTATATATATAGCGAAGGAAAAGCCCAGAACGTTCACTACGCCTATTAAATGTTTACGTTGCTCGCCTTCCTCTTGTTCTATTTCTTCTCGCCGGCGGCGGCCGATCTCACCGCCGACGGCTCCGCCCTAATAGCCTTTCGCAACGCTGTCGGTCGAATGGTGCTCCCTTGGAACACCTCTTTGTCACCTTGCAAATGGAAAGGGGTCGTCTGCTCCAGCAACGGCGTCACTTCCCTCCGCCTCCCCGGTCGCGGTCTCATCGGCCAAATACCCACCGGAATCCTAGGAAATCTCTCCAACCTCCGCAGCCTCTCACTTCGCCGCAACGCACTCTTCGGCCCCCTCCCGTCGGACCTGGCCAGATGCACCCATCTCCACTTCCTCTATCTCAATCAAAATCGCTTCTCCGGACAAATCCCGCCGTTCATCTCCTCGATTACTTCCCTCATTCGCCTGAATCTCGCCGATAACAACTTTTCCGGCGAAATCCCTTTGTCGCTCAACAATCTGACGCACCTTAATTTGCTTTATTTGGAGAGTAACCATTTCAGCGGCGAGATGCCCAATATGGATATCCCCAAACTAGAGCACTTCAACGTATCGTTCAATCGGCTTAAAGGACCAGTACCGGAGAAGCTCCGAGGTATGCCGGCTAGCGCTTTTCTGGGCATGTCAATGTGCGGAGGGCCGCTTCAGCCTTGCCTGGGCGAGGCACCACTGAAGCTGACCAATTCCAACTCTCTCTCTGGCGGCGCAATAGCTGGAATAGCTCTTGGCGCATTCGCCTTGTTCGTCCTGGTTCTTGCTGTCCTGTTTTTGTTCTTCCGACGCAAAGGTAAAGCTGATGAAGCGAATATCACAGAGACCCCCGGCGCAAAGCTGCCGGAGTTGGCGATTAAGAGTAAAGAGATGGCCGCAGCCACCGCGCCTCCTCCGGGAATCGCGGTTTCTAAGAAGCAATTGGTGTTCCTCGGGAACGCGCCCAGGCTATTTGATCTCGAGGACCTATTGAGGTCTTCAGCTGAGGTTTTGGGGAAGGGAACCTATGGTATTGCGTACAAGGCGGCCCTGGAGGAATCTTTGGTGGTGGCTGTGAAGCGACTGAAGAATGTAAAGATGCCGGAGAAGGAATTTGCAGAGAAGATTAAGGCCATAAGCGCAATGGAGCATCCTAATCTTGTACCTCTCCGAGCATATTACTACAGCAGGGAGGAGAAGTTCTTGGTCTACGATTATATGCCACTAGGAAGTCTATCTTCCCTCCTCCACGGTTAGTTCCTCTGTATACCTCTTCTGTTAGATTTTACGCGCTGGTTTATGAATTTTGATTGTTTTCTAATTGTAATCATTTTGATTTTAGAGGAAAAAAAAAAGATTTTTGCACTAAATTATTGCAAAGATGACTTGATCCTCCTCGATTTTCTCTATGAATTGTCAACGCCTGATTTATTTGATATAATAAGAAAGAAAAATAATATAAATCATGGACCAAAATATATGCTGGTCTGGTCAACCCTTCAAAATCATTTTGTCAAACTTGAAATGCTCCTGCTTTTTGTTCATGCCATCTACCGTAGCTTGACCAGATTGACCATTTGACTGATCTCTTGGAAATAGTCTCATGGAATTCGTCTTTTAGCTTTCTTCAGACTAAAATTAGATATTTTCTTCTGGAATTTGCATGGAAGACTGAACTTTGATGTATGATACAGGAAACAGAGGCTCCCCCTCCCCTCTAAAATGGGAAACCAGAATCAAAATCGCTTTAGAAACAGCCCGAGGCATTGAATGCATCCACTCAACATCTCCTTCTGCATCCCATGGCAATATAAAATCCTCCAACGTTCTCATTACCAGCTCTTACAGAGCTCGAGTATCCGAACATGGCCTTTCTCATCTTGCTCCCTCATCTCAAAACTTGACACCAGAGGCAGATGTTTACAGCTTTGGCGTTCTCCTACTTGAGCTTGTTACTGGTAAAGCTCCTGCTCACGGCGGAAGGTTTGTCAATCTTCCACGGTGGGTAGAGGAGACTTTGATTCGCGGAGAAGGGACGAGAGAGTTGTTTGATGAGGAGCTGACGAGGTTCAGAAGCCCGGAGGAAGAAATGTTGATGCTTTTGCAGGTTGGACTCGACTGTACATCGCAGAATCCCGATCATCGGCCGGAGATGTCGTCGGTGGTGGCGAAAATTGAGGAGATTCGGCATTGGGCTGCTCGGAAGAAGGATAAACTGAAGGAAAAGGAGGCTCCGTTCTTTTGAGTATTGATTGTGTAAATTAGAATTGCTTTAGGTGTTGGCTGAATAGAACAGATTAACAATTTGGATTGTCGATGTTTGAATGATTCATTTATTCATTCATTGATATATTTTTTTGTAAAAAAAAAAAAAAAAAAAATTTTGCTCCTCTGTTAAGTTTTTTTTGTTGAGCACTGAAAGTTTCAGAACTCGGTATTGGTTTTGATACTTAATAAAAGTTTTAATTTTGATTATTTTTGTCAGTTTTGAATACCATTTTAGCATTTTACGATATTCCACCAAAAACGTAAGATTTGAACAGATAATTGAATGTGTTAAACTCCTCTTTCAAACTCATTTATTATATGAAATTATGTTCACATAATATAACTAAAATTACATATTAAAATTTAAGCTACTCTAAAATAAATTTAACTAGCTCTTAATTATTCTTAGAGGTGTCAATAAATGGAATTTTTATTAGGTCCGGTGTCCTGACGTAGCTCTACGTTCGGACGCCAATAACATGTCGCCACGTGCTCTTACTTTTGACCGCGCGGCCCGACGACCCGACCTGGACCGAAACCCGGGGTTGCTATGGTCACGTATTGCTAGATGTTGCTCGGTATTGTTAGGTATTGCTTGACAATAACGAAAAATACTGCTCAGTGAAGACCAATACCGAGCAATACCTAGAAATACCGAGCAATACCGGGATATCGCTCGGTATTGCTAAGTATTGGTCTTCACATAATGATATTTCTCGTTATTGTCGAGCAATATCGAGCAATACCTAGCAATACCCAAGTCACAAATCAGCCAATACATAGCAATCCCGGGTCCGAGTCGGGTCGTCGGGCCGCGTGAAAAAGAGCAAGAGCACGTGACACCATTTTACTGGCATTTGAATGTAGAGCTACGTCAAGACACCAGACCTAATAAAAATTCCAATAAATGGCTCAATGCACCAAGCTGATCTAAATAATCTAAATAATATAGATTTGAATTGATCCATTTAACAAGCAAGTAAGGTTTAGGTCTGACATTTCGATTTGCTTGTTAAATGATTCGGGTTATGATTAAACCACTAACCTCATTTGATCATAAAATAATCCGTTTAATATTTTTTTTCTTATATTCTTTTATATGCTAGTATAATCTTCTTATTTTTTTATCAATAATTAAAATGAATTATCTACTCAAATTTAGGTGGCTAGTGGGTTAGGTTTTGATTCACTTTTTTGACCCATTTATTAAACAGGTCATATTGATATTAATTGGATTCAAATGGATCAATTTTAAGTTGAACTCGAACCCGACCCATTGACACATTCAAACACCCATAGTTATCCTATAAAAAAATATATTTCCAAGTAAAAACTTGCGTGAGCAGCATTTGCCGGTGCCGGCCTTGGGAAACTTTACAAGTTGACCTTCAAAACGAGTAAAGGCCATGCCACCATGCTTTGGTGTTGTTGACGAGTTTGACCTTTCTAATTTTTGCGGCAAGACTTTCTTTGATTTATGATTATTGCTCCTTGAAAATTTTGGTGAAAAGTTGTTGAGAAAACGATGACCAAACCAAATGCTAAACAAAAAAAAAAAGTATTTTATATGTGAAAGACTTATCATTCAGCAGCAGTTCGATTTTTTTCTTATGGTTTGGCGTTCCATTATGTGCTTTTAAAAGCAAAAATGATCAAAATGCCGGCAAGACTTATTGAAACTACGGTGCAACTCATTACGCTTCTACAGCTCATTATTCAGCTAGATTTCAAGCCATGAAAAGAGGTTATGTAGAATTTTCACATCTCATCAAATAAATTTAAAAGAGATTAACAATTTTGCAGTAAAAGGTGAGAGCTATGTCCTGAATCAATCGGCTTCATTATTGAGCCCTCTTCATTGCTATGAGGAATTCTCCGGATTCAAATCTTACCCATGTAGTAATCCTAAAAAAATGTGTGTCAACATTTGAATGTGAAACTTCTTATGCATGTCTAGATGGAGGTGTCAAATCCTTGATTTTTTTTTTTTTTGGAATGGGGTATCTACCCGCTGCTACCTCCGAATGGGCGCTTGGCGGAATGATTAATCCTCGGTTGACCTAGAAGAGGCACCCACCCTAAAACCCTCATGGCTCGCACTTGATTGGATCCCACTTAAGAGGCGCTGCCGCTCGAGAGTAATCAAGCACTAGTTGGGGGTTCCCAACCAAGCTAAGCATCGGTGGGTAAATCCTTGATTTTCAAGAAAAAAGTGTTTGACGCACAAATTGAATATGTAATAACTACACAATCTTTATATATGTATTACACACATTTTATAACACGTTTAAAGACTTTAAAATCCATCCTAATCAAAACACAACAACAACAACCGGCCTTGATCCCAGTACATGGGGTCAACTATATGAATCTTTTTTTCTCTAATGTCTGATTAAGAGTCAAACTCTCATTTAAATCTAATAAAAAAATTCATTTTTAATACATTATAATCAAGTATTTTTAGGTCTATCTTTAACTTTCTTAGCAGAGACAGAATCTAATACATCTACTCTCCAAATAAGGTCATCATAAGGTTAATGTTTTATGTGAGCAAAATATCTAAGGCAATTCTCTCTAATCTCATTTGCCATTGGAGTTACTACAACCTTTTCTTGTATACACTAATTTCACATTCTATCTCAAGTGTAAAGCCACCCATCCACCTAAGCATCCTCATCTCTACAACACTTAACATAATTTTATGCTTCTCTTTTAATGGCCAACATTTTGCGCCATAAAGCATTGCAAGTCTCACCACCATTTTATAAAATTTTTCCTTAGGTTTGAGAGTACTTTTTTATCACACAACATATAATACCCGATGTTATGGAAATTGGCTTACTTGACCTGATCTGGTACCAGGTACCTGGTACATATTCAAACTTGTTCTAATTTCATTTTTAAATTTTAAGTTATTTAAAGTCTAATTTAAGTCCAAATGAATTTGAAAATGAAACTGAGAAGAAGAAAGGATGGGAGTCAAGAGCTCTGAGGAGCACTGCGGCATTGTGCTCTCTATTGAGAATATCTAGGAGAATCTGGAATAATTCAGCCGGGTGGGTGTTGCGGCGTTGTTTGTCTAAGCGCTACAGTGCTGATCACTTAAACCTGTTTATATATATATCCAATTACATTCATTCATCACCCCAGCAGCTGGCCGGAAAAAGAAAGGAGAAGAGTAGAGAGAAGAGGTCGAGAGGAGTTTGGAGGATGCGGTGTGAGATTCATCAATCATACCAGTTAGGAGATTTGCTCTACTCGAGATAGGCTCAATTCCAATAATTATGTAAAACAGTTTCGAAGTAAAATATATTTTTAATAAGAATAATAAACTTTTCACTGTTTAATTTCTAGTATATGAAATTATATCTTATTCTTGTCATTTTAATTGTAAGAAGTTAAATTTTCATTGTTACATTTCTCAGTGCAAATTATCGGCTAATTTATATTGGAAATGATAATTCTAGCATTGACTATAATTCATTAAAAATCTTAAAATGACATCTAAAATTTCCTTATGAATGATTTTCCAAGTGATAAACATCAAGTGTGTAAGCAAATTTTTAGTGTCGTGCAAGTGTCAACAAAGTTGTAATCATTTACATGTTCTATGTTCTACATACATGTTAATTCTGCTAAATTCTGCATGTGCATGTCACGGCATATGGAGGAGATTCTGAAATGAAAATATTAAGTGCACTACAAATTTTGTTATATGCTCAAATAGGTCATTCTGTTTCTAGCACAATCTGTCAAGTACAGATGTGAGAGGGCATTTTTGTTTTTGGCCTCATTTATCAAGTGGAAATATGAGAAGTTTAAGGAGGTATAAGTAAAAGTTGAGCTATAAACAGGTATCAGGACATGTGCATTTTATACATGCATGTACTATGCAAATAAGTAAATAAGTAATACATGTTAAATCTTCTGTTTGAAACTCCTATTTTTGATGTACTTCTATTTCAGATTCTGATGAATAAGTTCACGCAATATCTAAATTTTGTATAAAACTACAGTTCTAATGTTAGTATAAATTATGAAGCATTATATGTCACTCATATTACCTTACCCTTCTGATATAGTGTTACAAAACATTAATACTTTGAGACATAAATGTTACTGAAAAAACATTGAAGTAAATTTCTATTGTAACGATAACCATTATCAGGTGTTATAACTCTTATACTTAAATAATGTAAAGGTTAATTGATTTCTGTTATGGGAGTTGGGATAGTCTACTGAGCATATGAATTGCTTACTCTGTATATTCTATGAAATTTCAAAAAAAGGGAAAAGTCTAGCTAAGTAGAAGATGGTGAGATGAGGACCGTCAGGTTTTTAGCTCTACTGTGAGATCTTTTAGAATGACTTTGACTAGATTATTTGTATATGATTCTTTTGAAAATCTTTATGTATTTCAATTAATTTGGATTATCTAGTCGGCTATGGTTAAGTGATGTTATGGCTAAGGTGATTAGGTTTTAGATTTAATTTTTTCATTACATTGTGGGGTGTAACTGAGTGGTATCAGAGAAATGATTTAGAAGAATTGAATCATTACTAGAGCCATAGGAAATGATATGTAGATATAAGAAAGGAGTCAACGATAATCTAGTATTATTTTCCTATTTGTATCTATGTTATACATGTGATTGAATCCCCTTATTCACGTTTTAGATATAAGTATTGCTATATCATGAACCCCAAAGATCAAGAACCAGCCAATAAATCGAGTTCTAGTCAAGCTGCAATAGTTCAGTGTATTGTGGGGATAATAACTTCTGACTTTATGAAGCAATTTGCTAGCTTAGCAGCTCAGCTTATAGGAGAAGCTTAGAGTAAGATGGCTCGAGTCAGGGGAGATGAAGTGGATAAACACTGGTAGTTATTTTTTAGGTTGAAGCCTTCTCATTTTTAGGGTGTAGTAGAACCTCATGCAGTTGAAGATTAGCTAATGAGGTTAAGAAGTTGTTCGATAGCATGCAATGTCTTGAATGTAGGAAGGTACCATTAGTTGTGTTCCTGTTGGATGGAGAAAATGAGCACTGGTTGTTTGGCCAACAGAAGGAGAAATTTCAAGGTAGACCAAATGCGAAGATTTCCTAGAAGGAATTCATTGATACGTTTAGGAGCTGGTTCGAGCACCATCGGTCAAGCAGCATATGCAGGAATCATTTCTGAGGATGGTCCAAAGGAATCAAGCAGCAGATGCAGCAAACATGCTCTTTAAAAGCTGTTAAATGTATTATAGACTTTTTTCCTCTAAAAAAGTCGTGCAACAGCTTTCTTACAACTGCCACATCCTAACAAATATGATTGCAAAAAGCAGCTTCTCGCCCAAAAAATTGTTAAAAGTGACAAGAAAGTTTTAGCCAAACAAATTTGTGACTACCATTTAGAAAGCAAAACTACAAAAAAAAAAACTATCACAAATTTACCCTCACTAAACATGAGGGTGCCATATGTCCCACACATCTCTAAAATGCCCAACTCTAATCGACATATGCTCACTGGTCGCAATCATCAAGGTTCCTATCAATACATGAATTCATACAAATAGCTTCTCATAAGACCATTTTGGGGCTGCACATCTAGTTGAGATTGGACTCTATATTACACTCATCTCTTGTTTTAGTCGATGCAAAATAAACCATTTAAATTCCTTTTGTCTGTACAACTTCATATTTCTTTCCTTCCCCATTTCTCTGTAATATTTCATATCTTCATCCGAATCCTACAAGAAGTATCACTACATGATGACTAAATCTCTCACCCAAAACGCCTTCCCAACACATGTCATCCATTGACAGCATGACCGCATTTTATCATTCACTAGGGGCTTGTGTAATAGTGATGTGAAACATCATAGCTAATATTTTTCATAGGAATAGTTTGTCTAAGTTTGTTACTACTAGCTTCTAGAATATTTTTATTAGCTTATAAATATGCAAGCATTGTAATAGGAAAGATCATTGATGAATATATATGCCTTTTGAAACTTTAAGCTTAGTTTGTTTCATGATTGGGAGTTCCTTCTAGCAGATCCGATTATTCCGTCGATTCACTACTTTAATTGGTATCAGAGCCTGCAGCTTGTGAGGAATGACAAAGAAAATGGGCTATTGACGACGTTCGAAGCCGAAGAAGATTGGTAGTCGATGACGATCGATGCCAAAGAAGGTAGGCTGACGATGATGATCGAAGCCATGAAACCTTTTATGTAGCTCAAGTGAATGCATCACTTGATTGAATAGACAAATTACTTTGTTCCATAAAGAGAATATGAATGTTGGTTACCGACGTCTTCGTCTTGCTCCTTCCCTCCACTTTCTCATGCAATCTCAAATAGATTCGCAATCAACCCACTGTTGTCCACGATTACCCTCCGCTCCAACTTCCACTTCGATGGCGAGATCCTCCGCCCAACCACGCAGTCAACAACCATCCCATAGCCATCATCCGCGACATGCCTCAGCTCCAACACGCGATTTCCTGACCGGATTCATCCACACACTCAGTGTCTCGCGTCGTCGATCATTTCGATTTCTCCTCCGCTTTGCATTGCGATCATAACTGTGATCAGCCTGAGCAACTTCCAGTTGATTTTGCTTACCAGGAAGCTCATGGTGTGGTGTTGGAAAAATCAAATGGCAGCAGTTCAGTTGTTCTTGAGAACAGAGGGGAAGCTGCGTCGGCAACCATATCAGTGGCGAGAAGAGCTTTTCATTCCACTGTTGAGGAAGAGCAAAGGAAAGATTCAATAGAGGATGGAGAAGACCACATGAAGGAGAGACGAACTGGCATGTCTTCAATGCCATCATCAGCGCCGTATAGGGAAAGAAGCCTACGGAGGTTACTTCTGATGGAACCGACGACGGGGAGGAGGAACAAAACAGAATTTGTTTGCAGGAAATCAAAAATCGTTCAAGGTTTTAGTTTCATAAGAGTGCAAGAGAAATGCCGATTATTAGCAGGAACAACCGGCAACTTGGACCTCCCATTCAAGCGCATTCACTGTGGCTCCAACCTCTCCTATACCCGATTTGGACTCTCTGTCGAGACATTCTTTGATCAAACCAAGCTTCAGCCTTCAGAAAATGAGCAGCACCAGCCCACTCCCGCAAACATATCGATGCCTTCGATCATCTGCCCCTCCAGCACGCTCACGCAACCGGCCCTGCTCTGGCACGATTCCACCCCCACCACTCTGCTCCCGTTTCTACTACCACTTAGCTCCAGTGATGACACACCAAACCCTGCTTTCTTCTTTCCTACCACCGGTTTTGTCTCTGCCTTCGCTCTTGAAGAAGACCCTCCTTTACCTACTGACAATGACACCGAGTCATCCTCTGGTTACTCTGAGCTACTTACTGAGCTGAAACCACAACAACAATTGTAGAAAATGATTCTCAGTGATGACTCTAAAGTTGGAACAAGAATAGTAGAAAATCATCAATTCAAAGATAGCTCCGGAGACCAAGTGCATTGCTATTTTGAAGCCAACCACACATTTGATTCAAATCAGAACAAATCTATGAACAAAAAACAGATGCTCATGTGGTGAAAAGATCAAAAGAAACTTTGATGAAGCGGCTATAGCTCTAACTTGTATATTCCCAAGGTTGAAAATAGATGTAAACCCACAAGAATTGTGGTTCTAAAGCCTAATTCTACCAATATTCATAAAACAAAAGCTAATTTAGCCTCTAACGTTGCCGTATTAGTCATCGATTAAAAAGGCGTTCGAGGCGGACGCCTCGAGGCGGAGGTCGGGCGAACTGAGGCTTAAGCCTCGAACGCTCGGGCGAGGCTTACGCCTTTTTCCACGGAGGCGTACGCCTTACCGCGTGAGGCGTCGAGGCGCATCGAGGCAGCGCCTCAAAAGTGAGAAAGTTACCTTCACAGTCAGCGAGCTCCCGTTGTTTCTTCCGATCAAAATGTTGTAGCTTACGATCCGACAGGAAAGGGAAAGTCGTCGAAGGAGCAAAGTCGAACATCCACGAAGGAGCTAAAGAAGTGACACGTGCAATCTCTACACCTCCTGTGAAGCAACGAAGCCGAACAGCAAGGACGAAAAGAGAAGATGAAAGGCAAACCGTAGACGCAACTAAGTTATTATTGATTAACTTAGTTAATATAATTTAAAATATTAATAATTAAACAAATTAATTAAATAATTAATAATATAATTAGTGCATGAATTAATTATCTATTTTAACTTAACTGAATAATTAGTATTATAATTATTAATTAAATTTTAATATAATTAGCCTAATTAATATAAATTACATGTAAATTACGTCGTATGCTCGATACTGAGCGGTATTGGCTCGGTACTGAGTGGTACATGCTCGGTACGCTCGGTATTGTGATATGTATGAGTTCCTGAACTTTTTTTTTTAGGTTTCTTGATCTGCATAGTGGGATAAAGGCTTGTTGTTGTTGTTGTTGATCTTTCCAATTAGTTTTCTGTCTCTTACAAGAACTTCCCTTCATTCGCTGCTCCCAAATTCCAGGACATTGAATCTGTTTGCATTTTTTAAGAAAATTTCTATGACCTGGACTTATTTCTTGCCAAGCCTTCTCTAGATTCATTGGTGCTGCTTTCTTTCTCCATTCGAGTTTTTGAATCTAAGCTACATTGCGCAGGGAGCAACCCGCTGCATTGCCATTTGACTTCTGTACCCTTGTTTGACTGAATGCTTTGGGACAGCTGTTCAATTGTAACCTTAGGCCTCTTTGTTCAGTGAATCAAGAGGGAACATTGAAATGTTTGAGGATTGATTTAGAATCACCTTTGCTTCATACTGTGACGATAAAGTGAAGCACAGTGCTTGTTCCCACTGCTTTGGAAAGTGTTACATTTTATAAAATAATATAATACTTTATGCAATTGCCCTAGAAATACATAGGAAGGTTCCAGTGTATTGATACATTAAATGATGGAAGCTGCAGTACATTTTTTTAATTTGATGTGTTATTTAAATTCATTGTAATGGAGCCATTTCCAGTTCATAACTAATAGTCAATATTTTTATAAAATAAAGTGATACCTGCTACTATAGGTTTAATTATCTTTCTATTATATAAAAGAACAAGTATATAAATGATGACGCAGCTTCTAGTGTTAAAACTAGAAGTTTAATTGAAATGCCTAAGTAGTACCACCCATAAGAGTAAACGTAGACTTTGTAAAGTTATCTTGAACCTTGGTATGTGTTACGCCGGCCCAGGAGGGGCCGGCTGGACCGGTCCAACCCGGACCGGTCCGGGTCTTCTCGCGACGGAAACGCAACCCGCAAGCGGAACCGAGCGGAGGGAGCAAAGTCGACGGGGGCCAGGGAAGAATTTTGGGAGGGAAATTTTGAATGCGAGGGGCTGTTTAGACATTTTGTAAAACTCCTTTATGGTTAATTAGGAGGTTAGGAGGAAAAAGGGGGGGAGATCTTGCATTTGAATTTGGTTGGGAGATCTAGGGTTTGTGTTCTTGGGCTCTAGGCTACGGCTAGAGATTTGGAGAGTCATTCCTTCCTCTCGGATTGAAGGAAATTGTATCTTTGTTTGTGTTCTTGAATCTACTAGTGAATTATATTGTTTTTCTCCATTTTCCTTGAGTTTTCTCCACTAAAACTGCTGCGATTTGCTGTTTTCCTGCTGAAAACAGCAGTTTTCTCTTGTTTTGGTATTGATTTCGGTTAGGTTTACTTGCGAACCCAAGTATTTCCTATCAAATGTACGCAGAGACCAGCTGCGCATTTGGTGGCAGGAATGCATGCTAAAATGTTGCGCAATTGTATCACTAGTTCCTTGCTACCGTAGAAAGACAAACCTGAGCCCAGAGAAAGAAATTAAAAACATTTTTACCCTCAACTACGTATAAAGATAACCACAAATACAAGCTGTAACGGTGTAACCTACTTAAAAAAGCTATAAAAAATGAAAAGAAGACAAAAAATGTAGTGAGAGAACAATGAGAATTAGCATCTGCATTAAGTAATCAGATATTTTCTTCTTTACATTTTTTTCTTTGAATATCACAATTAAAAGGGTAGTCAGTAAGAAAGTGCTAAATAATTGTATCCTATGACTAAATACTGTTTAGCAGCATGATCATAATATAATGCATCATTTACAAGTGTTACCTCAGTCATCTACATTAGCATCAGAATCATCTTCATCCCAGTCCACTCTGAATGAATTCACTGATTCCATGAGCTCAGTTAAGCCAGTGAGATCCTCTAGGTAGCTGGGCTGATTGATAGCTTGCAAAACAAACTCCATTCCCTTCCTTCTAAACTCTGAAACCACCTGAAACAAACCAATGATAAAACCTCAGCATGTTGTAGAAACCATGAACATGTCCAATCCAGATATTGCATAAAGGTCCACGTAAAAGTTGTGATTGAAGTAGCACTAGCACTACAATTTTGCCATAGTTGCTCATTTGTTTACATTAGCATAAAATGCTGCCATTAGAATAACTGAAAATTATATAGTTACAAATACTGTATACGGGTTAAAAATTAATATTTAGCCCTTCAGAAATTGAATAAGCTCGTTCTAAATATTTTACTAGCATCTTTCAAAATATTAAACAAAACCTACAACCCTGGCCTCTAGCACAGAAGAGAAGGATGATAGGAAACCTCGTAAACCACAATGGAATCGTGGCTGAAATTGAATTTCAACGAAGTACAAAACCAGAAATACAAAGAACGAAGTGGAAACAAATGCGAGGAACGATTGTATTGATAGCAAATGAAAAAATGAAAGAAAACACACAAAATACAATGGATCTTCAACTCGAGAGGAAGATCCGGCTCTCCCAAATCTCTAGAAGTCGCTGGAGCCCAAAACAGCGAAAAATAAACTCAATTCAGAAAAATACCCAATATCCTAACCCTAGGAAAACATTCTACTTAAAATATACAATCCTAAAGGAAATCTCTAAACAGCCCCTCTGAATTTTCCTTGCTAAACCACCTTAATTTCTTCCTAAACAAGGCTGCTAGACCCGCATGGATCGAAGACGAAACCCAGTGAGGCGGACAGATTCGTCTTCTGTAATAGAGTCGATCCCTCCTGGATCGGTCTAACAAAGGAAAAAATAAATAGGCATTAATTTGGAAATCAAATCCTATAGAGCTAAGCAAGGGAAAAAAACAAAAGCAATCATAATTTATATGGGAAAAGTCAAAACTTTATAATAGTAACACAATTTACATTTGAAAACTAGCATGCATTTTAAACCAAGAAAGCATAAGAAACTATAATATAGCGGCAAAGTGGTGCCTATAAAGAAAAATAATATGAAAGGAAATTAAATTACTTTTTAACAGCCTGTTTATAATCCTTGGAAACTGCTCTCTCTTAATAATTTGGAGAGAGAAATTAATAGTAATTGCAGTTAACACGAACTGACAAAGATGTAGCATATATTGCCCGCATCTAGCCAAATTTGGGCAGTTGTTTGGATTAGAACATAAAAAAAGAACGACAGAAGAAAGAAGTTGAAAGAATAGAAATCCTACTTAAGATCCTAGATAATTCCTAATGCACAAATAATACACTAGTTAATAATCAAAGATATTAGGAAGGACGAACTAACAGCATCACTGCAGGCAGTACAGCTTTTTGATGAGTAGCCTAAGAGCGTTAGCTGAGAAAATTGAGGAAGAGAGCCTCGGATTTGATGAGGTAATATGCCAAGAGGCCTATCACTACTGCCTACAATGGAGCTAGAAATCTCCCCTGGAGCATTTATCCTGCAAATATCAAACCAACAGATGAGCTTAGCACTTTAGGCAAAATGGGCATGCCATACCCTTCATAAAAGAACAAAGGAAACAACAAAGCAATTACCAGCTTTATGATGAAAGGGACACATGAATTAATTGTTGCCGTAAAAGGTTCAGTCACACAAAATTCTCAAGATATGTTTGATTTGAAGTGTACAGAGGGGAGCGTAAATGAAATGAAAACTAAATCTCATTCTTACTGTTTTGCAGCAATTTAGGTATAATTACTAATTATTTCCCTCAAATTCCCTTAAAGGAAAGCAACAATATTAGAGTAGGAATGCCCCCCCCCCCAGTACAAGATAGTGTCAAACTGCTCAAAATCATCCAGTATTCAAGCATACATCAACAATGGGTCTCTTACAACTAACACCCGCAAGAAGTTTAATAAGATTCCCCTTTATCTCTCATTTCCATTTTCCACAAAACTACAAGAAATCATATTCATTGTAAATATCCATCCATTATGTTTAATTTTCCTTTTTAAGTGATCATAAACAGCATTAATGATTTCATTAGATGCATCACACAAAGATATAAACTTTAATAGAGATTTGAAGTAACGCTAGGGTTTATAAACTTTAATAAGGGTGAAATTCTTAGAAAACCTATCACAAAGAAATTGGGAATATATTGAACCAAGTGGTCAATCAACAGAGTGCAAAACTGCAAATATGTTCAATTTGAAGATAAGAAACTCAGGATCAGGAGGGTGAAAAAAAATAAAGTGGGGACGGGGAGGATTAATATTGCAAATAACTCTGATTTACCGTTTAGGATGATGTAAAATCCCCACTAGCAATTCTACTGCAAGGGAAGAGGCAATAGGTGCCAGTCCAGGTCGTGTGACTGTACACTGCTGATCCAATGTCCGGTTGGAAGTCGACTGCAGAAAGAAATGCACTTAGTTTCAATTCAGTAAAACAATTAAAGATGGGGGATTAAAATATGATAAAAAAAATTGTGCTAAGCTATATTTCTAAAACTAGTACATCTATAGGAGCAACAACATCATTGCAAAAGTAACACCCAAGACGCTGTCCTCTATCCTCATTTTTGGTTGACAGTTTGTGCATTTGTGTGGCAATGGCATTAACATCTCCAGTTTTGTCACTTGCATTGCAAGTAGCATCCAGCATGTCAGAGGAAACAGGCCTAGGACCAGAACCATGACGCATGACAAGGTAACTGTCAAATCCCAAGGCTGCAGTTATTGCAACCTGTAAAAGAAATTACCACACATGTTAATAAGCATAGTTTAGATGTTAATGTTATTGATGTGAAACTAAATGCGATAAATAAGAATTGCAATTAAGATATTAATAGAAGTGATGAACTTTGCTTGCTACCAATTAACTCTTTGTTTGCTCAAGTCAAGGTTTAAGAATATGGCATTGAAAGATTAAGTAATAGCAATAGGTTACAATTTGAGATTAGTAGGACTTGCAAAATAACAACCAATGACTAGTAGGTAATGCAAATAGCAAATGTAACAAAAGCTTCAAGTTTAAAATCTAGATCATTCACCTAGAGGTCCTTCACTCAATCTCTTGAAAGTCGAGGCTAGCGGAGGAGAATTGCAAGCACACTTAAGGATGCCACTATCAAACAAGTAAAGCCGAGGGGACTAGTAGCCGGTGAAGAAGCCAGAGTTGGGGAACTGAGCAGTCGTCCGACAAGAGTCCACGGAATTCTTGGTCGTTGAAGCTTGATAGTCTTGGCGAGACAATAAACGATGCGATTGACATAACGTTCCACAGTGTCGTCGTACTCCCAATCCGGCTCGTAGAAGGGAAAGAGGAAGATGTCGATCTCTCCTTGGGTGTTGTAAGCGAAGTCTTGATCAACTTCAGGATCGGCCATGTAGCAATGATGAGATTCGGAGAGGGATCGTCTTCTTCTCTTGGATTCAATTATCATGAGCAACTTGGAGTTTCACGAGAGGAGAGACACAAGAAAATGGGCGGCCAAAGGTGGAGAAGAGGGGGCAGCTTGGATGGGGGAATTAGGTTAGATCCGGGAGAGGAAAAGAAATTTTATCCCAAATCTGAAAATAACTTCAGGATTTGAGTAAAATAGGAGGGAAACTAATTTGAATTTTGAATTCAAATTAATTAGAGAGAGGGGGCTTTAATGGGATTTAATGGGGCAAAGCCCATGTTGGGCCGGCGGCATAAAGAGAGAGGGGAGAGGGAATTGTGGGAGTTGAGCTCTTTCCAAACAAGTTTGGCCAATTAGGAGGGAAAATAATGAGTCCTCTCTAAATTAAAATTTATATCGGATTCAAAATTGAAAACTTTCCTTATTTGGATTTTGCAAATAAAGAATTTTTTTTTTTAATTTCAAAATTTGAATTTTAAAATTCTCTAACTCCTCTCTTTAGTGCAAGAGCCAATTTAGTGGATCATTATGACGATTAAAATCATCATAATGATTTGAGAGATGGAGAGGGATTTGATTTAAGTGAGTGGGCCCCAAATAGTTAATTAAGGAGTAACAACAAAATCTGAAATTTAAATCAGATTTTAAGTCAAGTGAGAGGTTTCCTATCATAGATTTAGACAATAGGAAACTATTTGAATTCAAATTTTCAATTGAATTCGCAATAAGAAAATTTTCAATATGACCAATTTTATTTTAGGAAGGTGAGTAAAGAAATATTTGAATTTTGAATTTCAAATTTGGGGCTTGGGAGGTGGGCCGGCGGCTAGGTGGGTGGAGAGGGGAGGCCATGGGAGGGAGGTTGGCAATCAGGTGGGTGATGGTCGGCAGCTTCGGCGGCCCAAGGAGGCCGACGGCAAGGGGAGGGGCTCGGGTTAGGGAAAATTACTAAGAAAGACTTTGTGGGGATTGAGGCCGGCGGGTGGGAAGTTTGGGGAGGGAATTTGATGCAAGGAAAAATAAAAGAAAAGAAAGATAAAAGAACCGCGAACCTTGGAATCCACCAAGATTGACGGGAATTGCAAATTACACTCCTCGGGCTTCTCCTCTCATGAACTCACTAAGAGATCAAACAAGAACAAACTTTTTTTTCATTCAATAATTCATCATCTCTTATAATGCATGAGGCCTCCTTTAAATAGGCCAAGATAAGACAAAGCTAAAAGACACAAATGCCCTCAGGGCTACACAAGCGACTAAATACCCACAGGGGCAAACTAGGAAAATAAAATACGAGAATAAATAAAATACAAAATAAATCAAAAATAAAGGCTCTGGATCGTAGCCGTCGATCTGCGTCTCCAATGATGGTACACGTGGCGAAATCTGATTTCCTCATCAGTTATGCTAGCCCGCAAAACAAAACAAAAAAAGTTATTCTATTGAGCATTAAAACGCTTGATGAACAATCCCATCATTGGATGCTGCCATATTGCTCTTATCTACATGAGTGCAGCAGCCCTAATGGGTCCTTTTCACTATGGTTCAACATCTAGTTGCTTTCTTAGTTTTATGTGATGATATCCTTTGTGATAATTTCCACTGTCATATGAAAATTTGTTTCAATATTATTTTAAAATATAAAAACAATTCCCTATTGCATGTAGAATTTTAGAAAGGCTGTTGAGCATTCCTTCATTTATTATTCAACATTTGTGGCTTTTATATTTCTAGTAGATTGGATCCTCTCATCTTCTATGGACTTGGGCTTGGTTCAAGCTAGATGTAATTTTAGTTGAAGCTTAATAATGTAAAATTTAGTGTTTCTTGTTTGTGCATTTCTTGATCTCTTGTGTTCTATGCATCATGCTTTATCATGTTGATGCTTTCATATATGAGTTTTGGTGTTTTCGTTATACAAATTGCTATTAAAGTTAATGCTTAGTTGGGATCAAATAGTTCATGTGGTTTGTGGCTCTAATGGGTCCTGACAATCTCGTAACATGATCAATCAGAATTCTAGATTGATGACTCCCACAACAAATCCACAAGGTTGCATGGATTTTAGTGCATAATCTTTGATGTGATTCAATTTGTGAAGTGTTAGCCAATGTAAAAAGCTCTCGCGTGAGAAGAAAATTACTAGGGCATTTGAGGATATTGGTTGTAGTTCGAAGTAGAATAGATGTAAACAAATTAGTGCAGAAATATCAAGTTGGCATAAACTTTTTGGTTAAAAATGACTTGACTATTAGTGTATCAAGGCCAATTTAGATTCCCTTTGGTTCCCTCCCTAATAACTATTATCAACGCATGGTTAAACAAAGTATAATGGTAATGAAATGATAGATTAAGAAGTCCAATTGATCTGGGCTTTGAAGAACCATGGTTATTTCAATGAACCAATTATGTTTGAAAGTCTTCAAAGAAACAGCTAATGAGCAGTTGTGATTTATGTAGGAGTATCATATTTTGGGGAAAAGAGAAAAAATGTTACCTTCCTGATTGGAAGAAAAAATCTGAAACTAAATCCGAAATGAGATGATGGCAAGAATTCAATAATTGATCAAATAAAACATATTTGTATTGCATAGTTTCTCTTAGTGCTAGTTCGTACCATTATTACATTCAGAGTTAGAAGCTAAAAAAAGTTATAGAAAATACACTTTTAGCGTTACGTATAACATGTGTTTTGGATCACAGTGCTTAGTGCTTCTAGACTTTTGGGAGCTTACTTAACTTCAAAAGAAGTCGCTAAGGAGATCCATGTTTTGCCACTAATTTGCATTGTGATAGGAAACACTTGTAGATCTCAAGTATTCCCTATCAATCTCCGAAAAACAGCGAGAATTCTTCACAAAAGTCCGCACAAAACCATGAAAAAAAAGTAGATAATTGGTATTATTTGATGAAAGGAACACGGAAAATAGCAATATACACTTGATCCTCAATTCGAGAGGAGGATCGATCTCTCCCAAATCTCTAGACGCCGCTAGAGCCCAAAGAAAACCTAAATCTAAGATATCTCAAATTTCAGCCAAATTTCAGATGCCCTAATCCTAGGAAACCAAAGTATTTAATGCATACAAATCAAAAGGAAATCCCTAAACAGTCCCTAAATTCAAATTTCCCTCTCAAAACCCTCAAAAATCGTTCCTAAAAGGCTACAGCTGATTTGGGCGTGCATTCGGCATCCGAAATCGCGTACAAGAGGCGGATGGTTCCGCCTTCTTACGCGTGAACCGGTCCAGTCAGACCGGTTGGACCGGTCTAACACATAACACGTACAAGAAGAAAAATCTCATCTTGGGAATAGTGCTTGAATATTCCTTGGGATCTAATCTACCTATAGATTTGTTCCCTTTTACTAGGGATTGCATGCATAACGGCTATATGTGAAGAAATCTCTACTAGGGTTTGCAAACCAACCTGTTATGCCTGGACCGGTCCCAGCTGGACCGGTCTGGTTCTACACCCGACGAACCAAAGTCGGGCGAAACCAGACGGAATGCGCGGAGGAGCGGGAGTCGGGGGGGCCAAACAGTGGCTAAACGCATGGGGGGAGGGAAAAATTTTGAATGAGAGGCTATTTTAGGAAGTCCATTATTGTCCTTTATGATTAATTTGTATAATTAGGAGTTTTTGGGGGGATTGGCTCCTCATCTTGAATTTGAATTTTCTCTTTGAGATCTAGGGTTTGCTTTGGGCTCTTGGCTTTGCCGGAGATCGTGGAGAGTAGTTCTTCCTCTCGGATTGAAGAACATATTGTATCTTTGTTGCTTTCTTTGATTTCTAGTGAAATACAAGTAATATCTTGTGTTTTTCTCCTGTTTTCCCCTATTTCCTGCTGCGTTTTCACCGAATTCCTGCTGTTTTGCTGCTGTGGACAGCAGTTGGCTGCTGTATATTTACTGATTTGGGTTAGAAATACTTGAGAACTCAAGTATTTCCTATCACAATCCTTGGAGGTTTTCACGATATAATTTCTTTCCTAAGCATTTCCCATGCGATTGAAGAAGCAAAGGTTACCATCTTAGCTAAGATTTCATGGAGTATAGATCTCTCAGTTTGGATTCTCTCTTGAAAACAATTGAACAAGTTTAGCATGGATAAGTGGCATCAACTAGGGTTATTATTAGCATCATCTTGGATGTCAGATCTTGGTAGGAGATAATTTTTCATATCAGAGATTTTATTTAGGCTTCTTTATTATGAGCAAATATGTTTGGAATTTAGAAAGGGGTAGGAAGTCCTCCTTCATTGTAACTAACATGTTTATGGTCTCTGCATCTTGGATTTCAGATCTTGGTGGGAGATAATCCTTCATGCCAGAGATTCTAATTAGGCTATTTTGTTATGTGCAAATTGTATTTGGAATTTAGAAAGGGGTAGGGAGTGCTCCATTGTTAATTTATGGCCTCTGCATTTGTAATAAGTTGGATTCTCTCTCCTTCCAATGGACATAGGTTGAAGCTAAATAACATAAATAGTTTTGTCTCTTGATTGTGTGTTTCTTGATCTCTTTTGTGTTTTGCATTGTAGCACAGCATACATTCCGCATTTGAGTTTTGCATTGTAGCACAGCATTTGAGTGTCTCTTGATTGTGTCTTGATCACATTTGTGTTTTGCATTGTAGCACGCATACATGCAGTTGGTGAAGCCTCCGCATTTGAGTTTTGGCAGTCTAGATACAACTCTATTAATAGTGCATCATTGTACTGATTAACAACCCCAACATATATGTCGATCAATCATCTAGTTCTAAAAAATCCCAGCTATTATGTGATATAAATGCCACAGTAAAACTATCAATAAGTTCCCTGTTTTAAGTCAAAATGCTTTTTAAGGCTTAGCATACAAGAGATTTAAAGGACTACTAGGCCTTGACGTTTCTTTACCTAACCGAACAAATCCATTGCAAAATTCTCATGAAAGTATGTTTAAATGCTTAACAGGTGCATCATTCATATACCTGATCTACATCAACAATTCAGGCAGAATTTCAACATTACCATAAGTAATTGCAGTCTAGAGAATAGCTGGCCATAAATAGCCATACACATGATTTCTATGGATTGCAATCAACTGAATCAAGAAAACAGGTGACCTAAAAACCTTGTGTAGGTAAATAACCATACACATCAACTACAGTTGAAAGGAGAAGAAAACATTTGTGACAAGCATAATTCCCTGTAGATTCAACAATTGTTAGCAAATAATTATTTAAGCATATTTCATAGCAACTTTGCTACAAAGAGAATATCATTTTAGGCAATTCAAAGCAAAGGTGGCAGAAAACCTTAGTATAAATTCATATGAAAAGAAAGCTGTAGGATCTTTCCCCAGAAAGAGAATCCATCATCTGCGCATCAGATCTCAGAAATGAGAATACTTTTAAGTCAGTAGATTCACCTTGCTTTCATTTGCACAAATAAGTGTTGGAAGCCATCTACTTTCCCTAGTGTCAGTCAATAAGAACACGACATCATGGGAAGCAATCAAACTTTGAAGAAGCTCACAATCTTTAAGCACATTATCTGCTTCTTGAGCAGGCACTGGGTGCCCTGGCATTGGAATTGCTAAATTAATACTTTCAGCTTCCTACAACGCAATAATTAATCAGTGGTTGCAATATATGTCTTGTTTTAAGAAGAAAATAAGAGGCAAATGAACCTCACCACAGCTGGAAAAATCCTCTTCAGACTTTTAGCTGCTGCAACAGCTTTTAACTCACCACCATCTAGGCAATCCTCAAATGTATACAGAGACTGTCTTACAGGATTGGACATAGCTACACGCCCACTATCAAGCAAAGTTATCCTCCTAATACCCCAAGCCTGAAGATAGATTTGTAACCATTGACAAAGAGAATAAAGGATGGCAATTTATAACATTATATGTAAGAGAAGAGAATCTTTTGTGACAAACCATCAGCATGCGAGCAACTTGGCACCCTAGTGTACCGGCACCAAGAAGTAGACACTTAACAGAGGACAAGATATTAATGTCTAGAGATGGAAGGGTTCGCCATCGCATAAGCTTTAAATTCAGATCCGCTGCAGAGACAGCTAACCTGCAGAGACAGCAAAATTATGAACATTTTTAAATGGGTACATGTGTCACCAAAATACTTTGGCGCTTATTGTAATTAAAAGATCGAACTATTAAGCATACAACCTCTTTGGATCCATGGATGCCGCCAGGTTCATCAGCTTAGGTTTAAGTTCCCATCCTACAGCTTTAGGAACACAACAAGGACTCCTCCAATCTATCAAAATGATATTAAGTTGGGGGGAAATCACATTGGATAAATTGGGCATATTTCAGTTCATGTGAATGGCAATTTACTGTAAACTGATGATTTACCTTGTGGCAGCAAAACTACTGCTTCTCCGACGAGGGATAATTCCAAATCAGCCAAACCACGCCTCTCCCGATAGCACAAAAACTGAATATTTTCTATCTTCCACCGCAAACAAATGAATGCAAGGAAGTTGCGAAGAGGCCAGCCTGGATTACTAGGAAGATTACAAGGATCATAGAAACCGAAGAGCAGCTGACACGCAAAAAACAGTTTGAGCCAAAGATTTATTGTCACTCCAAATCAATCTTAGGTAAAAAACAAATCTTATATGCATAGCTGTCTCAATAAGTAATGCACAACTAGAATTTATAATAACTAGATGTAAGTCAGATTGAAAGGTCCATATCATAGTGCAGAATAGCCGTTAATTTAGATTGTTCCATGAATATACCTTTTCACCATCACCATGGAATGCTTCCCAATCCTTCAGTGGTCGAATAGTAACTTGTGCATTTGATGCTATAACAATAAAAAAGAATGGCACACCTACAGTTTGGCAAACAATATACCATCCACATTAATGAGAATTGAATTACCAAATGAAGAACATTGAAAAGCATCCTCACAGATAAAATGCAAGATCAACCTGCTGTCATGTTTGAATTACGCCATTCATTACATGCCCTTGATAAAGATTTAGCCTATCATGAGAATAACAATGGCATTAGAAACTCTGCAAAAATAAGAAGCTGAGCACATGATGAATTTTACACCCATAATACGAATACCTCTTCTGAACTGAACACCTTTGAAGCTGGTTGTATATTAACTAAGGTTGCTGGAGGTTCAAGCGACAAAGCAGGAAATGCAAACCAATGACGGAAGGTCCACTTCTTCAAATCAGCAAATGAGATAAGGAGGAACCTTGAAAGCACTGCACAATCCTCATCTGCTTTCCCGCTTATAATATCGTCAAAAATCTAAGAGACAGTCAAAGATTGGGCTACAGTTAAACGGGTAGGCACAAGACGCAGCAAAAATAAAACCTTTTAAGCAACGTAAAGCTGTAAACATAGAGATTCATTTCTTCAAACTGAAAAATCCAAAGATTTAACCTTCCTTGCTTCCATTTTCAGAAGAGCGTCCTTATCAAGAGCACGGAAGCTCTCCAATGTATTTGTATTGTAAAGAGTTCCTGGCACAGGGCATTTATTCCTGTTACCGATTACCAACTGAAGCGGATCATCCGGCAGGGACTCTGCCATAAGTTTTAATGGATTTGGCACTTGTGGATGTGAACAAGGCGCATAGAAACCTATCAATTGGAGAAGCAAAATTGTTAGACGTCTTGAAATAAGTTCAACATCAATACACAGAGAGAACAAGCTGAAAGGAACGAAAAAAACTCGCCGGTTATGGGGATTGGGGACTGGTCGAGCCCAAGAGTATCGAGCTTGAGAGAGGAAAGTCTCCTCCAAAAGCCCTCGTCCGCGGAGCTCTGGAAGGGGATGAATCTGAGGATCTGCCGTTCACTTGAGGAGTCGGAGGACGAAGATGGAGGTGGAGGAGGCGGGGAAGACACCGTCCACGTTCTGTTCTCCGCCATAGATTCCGTCAAGCAATGTCTTCGACTAACTGCGATCAACTATTTGCCAACTTCGTCTTGCCTGAATGGAAGAATTATTCTTTTTTTATTTTTTATAATGCAAATACTAAAGCTATTTAAAATTTAAATTCATTTATCAATAATAATCAGCTCAAATAATTATAGAATTAAAAATATCAATATATATATATATATATATATATATATGACGAGGCCTATATATATGTGTGTGTGTGTGTGTGTATGTATGTATGTTGCATCCTGGAGTATTCGCGGTGGTAGAGAAATATAAAGTTTAACGTCTTAGCATTGTACGAAAATCTGGCACGCAATCAGATAAAAAGGGAGGGTGCGTCATCCATTGGAGACACCAAGATTTTTACGTGAAAAAACCCCATAAAATGGGGAAAACCCACGGGGCCTTGCCCAGTATAAATGAATCCACTAGTATTGTAGTTGATTACAAATGAGGCCCTTCCTTAGTGCAAGGCCTTAGCCTGATGTACATCATATAGAGTACATTACACGGTGAGAATACATAGCATCATTGTTGATGTGTTTGTTTGGTATGAAAGACTGTAGTCGGTGGACGACGTAAGTCGGAAAGACCGTAGTCGGTGGGCGACAGAGGTCAGAAGGACTGTAGTCGGCGGGCGCGTAAGTCTGAAGGATTGTAGTCGGCAGGCGACGTAAGTCGGAAGGACTATAATCGGCGGGCGACGTAAGTCAGAAGGATAGCGTCTGGTAAAAGTCCAGCAATAGAGAGAAATCCAGCATCAGATAGATGTCCGATGAAAGTTCGACAATAGGCAGTATTCCAGTGTTGGGTAGAAATTTGGCGACGAGCAGAGGTTCGACTTCGGGTAGAAGTCCGACGTTAGTTGGTGGCCGTGAAACTGACCCGACGCTATTCGTGTCAACCCAACATGACCCGAATGACCCTGGGCCGTGAAAAATCTGCTAGTTTTTAGGTCATATGGGTCAATATCCACTTTTCATGTCAAGAACAGGTCAATCTCGATTTTTCACGTCAAAAATAATTTTTCGAGTAAAAAAAAACAGGTCAGTTTCAGGTCAAATGGTCAATCCGAACCGACCTAATTTTTTAAACAAGTTGAATTTTAAACTTGAACATGATCCATTTCGAGTCTGGGTTGACCATAACCTAAAATTTTTTAGTCATGTTTAAGACGGATTTTTGGGTCTTGTCAAATATTGATACCCCTACTCACAACAACAGTAACATTAAAATCTGCAAACAACAAAACATAATGGTACGAAAGATAGTAAAGCAATATATTGTGGAAACCAGTAAATTAGTTTAATAAAATATTCATTATATTAGTACTATCAATTAGTATAAAAATCCTATAAATCGATTAAACTAAAACATCAATAAAGCTTGTTGACATCATATCAATATATTTATAATCATATAAGGGTGTACACATACTATCTAACTAATCTACATCTATATATATATCCAACTGGGCCGTGAAAAATCTGCTAGTTTTTAGGTCAAATGGGTCAATATCCACATTTCAGGTCAAGAACGGGTCAATCGGGATTTCGCGTCAAAAATGATTTTTTGGGTAAAAAACAGGTCAATTTCGGGTTAAATGGTCAACCCGAACATGACCTAATTTTTGAAACAAGTTGAATTTTGAACTCGAACCTGACCCGTTTCGAGTCTGGGTTGACCCTAATCCAAAATTTTTGAGTCGGGTTTAAGACGGATTTTCGGGTCTTGTCAAATATTGATACCCCTACTCACAGCAATAATAACATTAAAGTCTGCAAACAACAAAACATAATGGTATGAAAGCTAGTAAAGCAATATATTGTGGAAACCAGTAAATCAACTTAATAAAGTAGTCAATATATTAGTACTATCAATTAGTATAAAATCATATAAATCGATTAAACTAAAACATCAATAAAGCCTGTTGACATCAATATCAATATATTATAATCATATAAGGCTGTACACATACTATCCAACTAATCTACATCAATATATATATATATATATATATATATATCTTAATCATATGCTTATTACATTATTTAGTATATTACATACGTAGTACGATAAATCAATAAGCAATATAGTGTATCAATAACAATGGTAGTAACATTGATTTAGTAATAATATTGGTACAATATCAACGATATTGTCGGTATTGGTAAAGCCAATAATAGTACCAATCAATAAATGCAATAATAGTAAATTCGCACAGTTAAAACAAATCAGTGAATAATAACATTAACAATGAAGCAATAACATGTATTTTAGTAATCACACTAAACAAATAATTTTTTTTTATTTAAGCAATGTTTTATAATATCAATAATCATAAATTATTGGCTCAATAAACAAGTCTTTACTTCTTGTCCGTTATAACTCCCAATCACAATAATAACTCCTTATAACTCCCAATCACTGTATCATTGTATTACATGAATCACTAGAGGTTAACACTAAATAATGTATTCAATGAAAAGCCTGTCAGGCCACCATCATGTACATGTCTGTCAGTCTTTAACCAACGGGTCAATCAGTCTTTATTTGTTTTATATACACATCTTATTATAAAAATAATATCGATCAACTATTACCCAATCACATAATTCATTCTCAATGTAGACATTAAAAATATGTATTTATTATATATTAAAATTACATTATAAGCAAATCAAATAAAATAATATAAATTTTATTTTACCCCGTGAAATATTAAAATCAACCAGCCAAATAATTCAGAATATTCCATACTACAATATATGAAAAGTATCACAATGGAAGTTATTTAAAATAAAAAAAATGAAGTAAAATGGAGAATTCAATGGTTAAAATTGAAATATTTAAAAACATAAATAGGATAAAAGGTCCCTACATTGATCTAAGCAGTTTTTGTAAAAGTGGCGAAGTTAATTAGCAACCAAAATCAAAACTTTTTCTTCCTCTCTCCTCCTTCTTTCCCCCTCTCTCCCATTTCTTCTCATGCCAACCTTCTTTTAAGAACAACTCTCATATCATTGGATTTTTCCAACTCCGTAATATAATATGCTTTATATGATATATATTTTGCTACATGGAGACAAGGCCTTCCCTCGATCAAGTACTTCAGTTCTATCATCTACAAACACTAGTATAATCATTTTAGTTTAGTTAGACCCCATAATTCTTCCTCTTTTTATAAATTTTCACGTTAAAATCCTTATCTCTTACGACTCTTGCACCTTTCTCTTTTATCTGTGTGTGCTAGATTTTAGTACAAGGATAGGATGCTAGAGCATATATTCTTTATCTTTGTAAATGTTCCAGGATGCAACAAGTACTAAAATTTTAAATAATTTTTACGTCAATTGACATACTAACTTCATGGAATGTTTAAATTACACTTCAGAAATTTTTACCTGGTTCATGGCTAGCTCTAAGTAGAGGTTCACATTGACATCTGTTGAGCCGGAGTAGTTATGTCTTATGATTTTCTTGACATCATAATTTTATGCCATGAATTTTGTAGAAGATTGAATATATCTTTTTGAACTACACAAGTTTTAATGTTCAAAAATAGGGGGGGGGGGGGGCAAAATTATATGTATAATGAGCTGCTTGGTTTGAAGTAAAAAGAGTGTAAATTATTCTAAATACTATGATTTTAAAATTTTATTTTTATTGTTTTAATAAAAAAGTGTTTTTTGCAACTATTTATTATTTTTTATACAAATAAATTAATTTGTTTTTAAATATAGCTAAACAATTCTAAAAAATTTAAGTGCTTTTAAAAATAATTAGCACCATCAATTACAACCACAATTACCATCGTGGTCGCTACTACCATGTCATTAATGAAAGATCATTATAGCCTACTATTATATAAATAAGCAAAAATGATTTTTTTTAAATATAAAATATAATTCATTTCAGAACATAAGTAGAATAAAATAAAAAAAAATAAAATTTGATCCAAATAGCTCTTTATTATTATAATTTTTTTGAATGAATTTAATTATTATAAATTTATTTATTTTTGGAAACGGGGTATCGACCCGCTGTCACGTTAGCTTGTAACACGCTTGGCGGTGTCCACTAGTCTCTCGGCGAGTCTACCAGCAACCAGCCCCACAAGTGCATGACCCATAGTTCTTTTCTCCCCGCTTAAGAAGTCGTGCCGTATAAGAGGGGATTCGAACTTTATAAATTTATAACTTTATTTCTTGTTAGCCCATAGCAAGTTAATTTTTATTTTGGTTATTTAAAAAAAAAAACGTGTTGCTGGTTTTAATATTGTGGAAGGTGAGATTTGTCTTAAATGGAAAAACAGCAGTTCATATAAATTCAAAAATTACATTGAGGAGTATTACTCTGATTTACAAACCTAGTCTTGGCACAAATCGGTATGGGCAAACAGAAATATTATTAAACATTCAGTTTATGTCTGGATGTCTTTGGTGGGAGGACTCAAGACTGCGGATGCTCTTATTTCACGTAACATTTTGGTTCCAGTCGGTTGCAGTCTACGTCATGATTTAAATGAAATTGTCTCTCACATTTTTTTCGAATGTGATTATGCTTTTTACGTTCTTACAGAGGTTATACCTGGAATGAAAACTTTTCTTTTTAGGCCCACCATTTTGCAGGTTTTTGAATGGATTAAGGGTAATTACAAGGGGAACAAGAAAGTTTAAAACTTCTATTTAATTATCATCTGCTGCATTATCTACCACATATGGAAGGAGAGGAATGGCAGGAGATTTGGACATATTTTTAATTGTCATAATTCCCTGATTCTTAATGTTAAGAGGAACATTTCAGAGAGAATAGCAAAATGGAAGAACTCTATGGATTATTTGGAACTTCTGTAATATGGATTGCGGCTACCATGTTGGCTATGTCCCTATACTCATCCAGTCGCTGCGAGCATTTTTTGAAGTCTTACCTGGACAATGATGAAGCTCCCGCTCTGGATCCCTTGGATGGTCTACGGGCAACCAGGGATTTCAGGATTTTCGTGTGCCATAATATGTATAATATGAGTCCAGGTTTTGATAGGCTTGGGAGCTCTCTTTTTTTTGGCGGAATTCCTTCTATAGGCTTAATTCTGTATATAATTTTGGTATACATGTTATCTGGTATACTTGTATTGGGGATCAAATTTTGTTTTTAAAATTCTGCAGCTAAGGCTGATAGGGTGATCAAATGTAATAGATTTTTCCTTTTGTTTTGCAGCAGGTTTTGCTTATGCAGTTTTGTTCTTTTAGATTGCTACTGGTAAGTTGTGGTAGCAATATATTTTTTCTTATGTATTCTTTCTTTTTATGAATGAAATAGGCTAAAGCCCCAAATTTTTCAAAAAAAAAAAAGAAAGAAAAAAGAAAAAAAAAAAAGCGTGCGCGTCATTCCTAACACATTACTAAAAGTCATTCAAATTGCCAAATTGGAATCAACACTTTCTTCTGTAACTATAGGATATTCCACTCAAATCTTGTATTCTGCTGCCTCCGACGTTCCCAACTTGCGCCTCACTGCGTCTTCGTCTCTGCAGCTTCCCTCTTCCACTCCATGACCCTACAAACCCTAAACACGCACGTCCCGGCGCGGATGAAATCGTTAGTCTTCTACAAGCACGCCACTCCAGCGAAGATCACCGATGGCCGAGTCTTCGCCGGCAAGCTAGGGTTTCGGAGCCTTATGGTACGAGCTTGTAGAGGCGAACTAGATGGAATTAGGAGAGGGAAGGCCTTGAAGATGGCGGATTTGGCGACGTTGAGTAATCTGTGTGTAGACATCGTGTTAAACGTGCCGAGCCTTCCTCCAGCGCAGAAGGAAGAGAGACAAGCTTATATGGAGGGCTTGGTGGCTTCTGCTCCCGATAAGGTGTGCTCCCCTGCAATGGTGCATTGAGGGTTCTGAGCGTATGTTGGCTTTACATCGGATTTTGTAGGTTCAGAAATAAAATAATATTTCATTTCGTTAAGCAATGTGAATGTTTCCTTATTGAATATTCCAGTGGAATGGGCTTTAAATGCAGCTCTTAAGTGGAGCAAAACAACTCTCGATAGTATCACTCAGTTAAAAAAGGGGGAACAAATCATGTCTTTGGCTAAGGATCATGTGTGCTTATTGGATATCACGTTTAATTACTCATTTCTCACTTGGAGTTGGGGATCACGATGCATGAACAATCCGCTTGAAAAGAGATATATATACCAAAATTGTCAAAAGTTCTAAGCGCCCCCAATGTTTTTTGGCTATTCGAGAATACTTGGAGTTGGGGATCACGATGCATGAACAATCCGCTTGAAAAGAGATATATATACCAAAATTGTCAAAAGTTCTAAGCGCCCCCAATGTTTTTTGGCTATTCCATTCTCGTGGCACCATGAGCAAGTAGGCATATACCCGGATGAGGTTTGGAACCAAAATGAGATTCTTGCATGAATTAATAAACTGATACGTCTTGGTATCGAAAACAACAAAAATACTCCAAGAGATTCAACACAAAAATATATTTTTATTGATGGAAGTCCAAATACGGACAAAGCAAGATACAATGGTCCTCTTTCAAGAGGAGGACCTTCTCTCCCAAACCTTAGATGCTGCTAGGATCCATCACACAAGAGAACTACACACTTAAAACAAAATTCTGCATAAGAATGAAATAAACCCTAGCATTAGACTTAAATAAGCTTCCTTCTTCCCTCCTAAATCAACCTCCTTCATAATGTGTTTCCCTCCTTTATTTGAAATTCAATTAGAAAATTATTTCCTAATTGATTCCCTCATAACATAATATTTTAATTCTCTGTTGGTCTCCACCTCCTCAACCAACCCCTCTTCTTCATCCGCCGGCCCCACCTGGGCCTAAGTTTTCAAGGCCGGGCGATCCGCTGGCTCCTAGGTCCACTTGGTGCGGACCCCTACTGCTTTCGCCGTATCAATACCTGCCCTCAAAAGTCCCACCTTGTCCTCAAGGAGGAATGCAGGGAACTACTACTGCATAATCTGGTAGGACTCCCACGTGGCCTTGTGCTCGGGTATGCCCTTTCCATCGGATCAACACTTCTTTGCTTCCCGTTACTCTTGATTGCACTCCTTCGACATCCAGTGGTTTCAACAACACCTCCATGTCCTCTGTCAAGGTCGAGGGAAGTGTAGAGGAAGGAATATGCTTTTCTATCACCCGCCACAATTAGGACACATGAAACACCAGATGGATGGTTGCCGATGGTGGTAACTGCAGGTGATAAGCCGCGGGCCCCTATGCGCTTCACTATCTCGTAGGGACCAAAATATCACGGGGATAACTTATCATTCCATCTTCGTGCCAGGGCTTTATGTCTGTAGGGACGAAGCTTTAAGCAAATCTTGTCCCCCACCTCGAACTGTATGTCTCGCATATGTGCATTTTTCTTCTTCATAATTTGTTGAGCTCTCAACAAATATCCCTTCAGCTCCCCTAAGATCTTGTCTCTGTCCTCCAAGTATTGTTCTACAGAAGCCCCTAGCGTTCCACCTTGCCCATAGTATATCAAACAAGGGGGTCTCGTCTGTATAATACTTTGAACTCTGTAGTTAGCGTTATCGAATGATAAGATGTGCTATATAAATACTCTGCCCAAGCCAACCATTTGGCCCACAACTTAGGTATATCTGATATAAAGCACCGCAGATAGGTCTCCACAGTACGATTGACTTCCTCTATCCATCCGCCTGAGGATGATAAGTAGTGCTTCTTTTAAAGACGATCCCCTGCATTTTGAACAATTCCTTCCATAACTGGTTTAGGAAGATCTTGTCCCTATTTGATATAATGGATTCCCTCATAAAAATCATTGGTATTGATGCTGCTGTATAGGGGTGGCGAAGGGGGATGAAATGAGCATATTTACTCAACCGATCCACTACCACTAGTATCATCATGTAACCTTCTGACTTAGGCAGGCCTTCGATGAAATTCATAATCACCTCCTCCCACACCTTTTATGGCAGAGCTAACGGCTGGAGGAGCTTTCCTAGAGACATAGCTAATTACTTGCCTCTGGCATATATCTTAGTCAGCCACCATTTTCTCAACATCCTTATGCATCCCCTCCTAATACAGCTCGACAGATAACCAACGACATGACTTTTGGGCCCTCGAATGTCCCCCATTGGCCGTCACATGAATCTATTGCAACAAACATGGAATGTAAGAAGATGTCTTTGGAAGCACAAATTGCCCATCATGAGCAACTTCTGCCCCACTACTGAATATCCTGGATGGCTGCCACTTGCTTCTTGCCAGCTCCTCCCTAATTTTCTTTAGGCATGCATCCTTTTCACTCTTCTCCTCAATGCTTCCCATTCAACACCTAGGGCACAAACAATGCCATCATCTGGGGTTTCCCCCATGCACCTGGATAACCCATATGCTGCTTTGTTTTCCACTTCAGGTCAGTATTGGATTTCAAAGTTATAACCAATAACTTGGAAAATCATCTTTGATGCTCCTCAATGTCCATTCTCTGTTCCAACAAATACTTCGAACTTCTCTGGTCAATTCTGACAATGAAATGTCTTCTGAGGAGATATTGTTGCCATTGCTGAATGGTTAGCACAATCGCTATCAGTTCTCTATCGTAGACTGACTTTAGCCTGGTCCGAGATGTCAACACCTAACTGAAATAGGCCATGGGTCTCTAGCTCTACATAAGTACCGCTCCTAGCCCAAAGCCCGAATAATCTATCTTTACAAGAAAAAGGTTGGCTAAAATTCGGAAGGGCTAAGACTGACACACTGTTCATAGCTTTCTTCAACTCCTTAAAAGCTTGGGTGGCCGATTCTCCCCACTTGAAGTTGTCCTTTCTAAGCTATTATGTCAATTGCCTTCTATTGATCTCCCTTCACAGACTTTCGATAGTAGCCAGTGAGTCCTAAGAATCTTCTCAACTCCTTTAGATTATTGGGCATGGGCCATCTGAGCATAGCCTCAATCTTACTCTAGTTAACAGTAACTCCCTCTTGAGATATCACATGAACTAAGTACTCCACTTTGAGCTAGGTGAAAGAACACTTCTTATTGGCAAATAAGGAGTTCTCCCTTAAGGTCGACAACATAACTCCCAAGTGCTCTCCTTTGGGCCTACTATAAATCAATATATCGTAAAAAAAAAAAAATCAACACAAACCTTTGCAAGTAGGGTTAGAATACCCTATTCATGAGGGACTAGAAGGTGGCTGGTGCATTAGTGAGACCAATCGGCATACCAAAATCTCATAATGCCTCATGTGCGTTTGAAAAGCTGTATTGTGGGTGTCCCAGGGTCACATCCTGATATGATGATTTCCGGATTTCAAGTCTATCTTTTGTTATCAAGTTATGCCTTTCATATTGAAGAACACGGGAGTGGGCTATGACTTGGATCTTTGATGAACTCATTCATAATCAAGTGAAATGTTATATTGATGATTTGATGGTCAAAGTCACGAAAGGCAAGATCATCCTTATGATTTGAGAATCATTTTTGAACTTTTGCGTCGCTACGACTTAAAAAAGAATCCTCTGAATTGCTCCTCTTGTGTCACTTCAGGGAAAGTTCTGGGGTTTGTAGTAAGACATCGTGGTATAAAGATTGATCATTCCGAAGTAAAAGCCATCTTAGACATGCTAACTCCTAGGTGTCTCACTGATGTGATACAAAATCCCATGCGAAAATGATTTTCTTAAGGAAGTTTGCACTTATAAATTTTAGAGAGCAATGTTAAGCAAAATCCTCTATTGATCTTAACGATAAGATAACATTAAGGTGATAAAATAGCTTAGGTCTAAACACATGCGAGAGGTTGAGATCATTAAATAGTCAACTAAGTCTTACTTTGCATACATGAGTGGTTTCAACGAGAAATTCCAATGCTAACAATAAGATTAGTATTATGAAGGGCATCTCTCACAACTCATTCAAATACTAGATTTAGCGGAGGCGATAAAACATTTGCTTTGTGAATCAAATTTATCCACGAGTAGAGTTAACTTAGAAGATAGAGAGTGAGTGAAGAGTTTACCAAAAAAAAAAGGAGTTATGAAGCTATGACGATGGCTGGAATGAAGGGGCAGCAGCCTTTAAACTTCTGGAACTACTCAACAGCAATGGAAGCCTCTTCGGGCGGCTGGACGACACTAGATCTCCTCAGGACAGCATCTAGGACTGGTTCTGGACGGCTGGACAGCACCCTAGTTTGCTGTGGTCAACAGGATAGCAACCTATTGAGCTCAGGGAAACTTCTAGACAGGAAGAAGGGTTGTCCCTGAGATCTGGACAGCAATTGTCGCTCCCGGGATGGCTGGACGTTGGTGGCCTGCTGCAGGAATTTCCAAACAGCAAATTGAGATGTTGGGCAGCAGTTTTCCTGGAGCTTTGGAAGGGATTTGGGGAAGGAAAAATCAGCCAATAGCTGTGGGGAATTTCGGCCAGCAAGGAGGGGAAGTGTTTGAATTAATTCCTTAGGAGTAGTGGATTTGGAAGGAATTAAAGGGGTGAGGAAGATTAATCAAAAGCTGACATTTAATTTCAGTTTTGATTAAATTGGGAGGGAAAAGGCTTGAATTTTGAATTTCAAGTCGTAGGCATTAATGCCTTGAATGGGGGGAGTTAATGGGGGGGAGCCATGAGAGGGGCCGGCGGTTTCATGAAGGAGGAAAAGGGTTTTATTTCATAACCTGAAATTAATTTCAGGTTTTGTATGAAATTAGGGGAAAATTTATTTTGAAATTTGAATTCAAATGGGTGGCCATGAATGCTTTAATTGGAGAATTAATGAAGCATTCAAAGAGGGGAGAAACCCTCATGGGGCCGGCGGTTTCAAGAGAGGGAGAGGAGGTGTGGGAGCAATTTATGAGCTTTCCAAATTAGCACGTATGCATTAGGAAGCTAGATTATGAGATCCTTTTCAATTTGAATTTCAAATTGATTTGAATTTGAAAACTTTCCTAATTTGGCTTTGACAACAACAACAACAACAACAACATCAAGCCTTCATCCTAATTTGGCTTTGACAAATTAGGAAATTTTGGAACTCAATCAATTTTGAATTTTCAAAATTTGATTAAGTGGGGGATGGGGAAGGTAGCCGGCGGTTGGGGTTGTGGAGTAGGTGGTGGAGGAAGGTAGCCGGCGGCCAAGAGGAAGGCCGACCGGTTGGTTCCCTTGGATTTACTGCGGGATGAAGTTGGGGCTTGGATTTCGAATAAGCGGAGTGGAAATTGGGTGTTGGATGTGGATGAAGAAAGCACAAATAAGATAAAAAGAACTTAACCACGAGCCGCGGACTCTTACAACGACTGGTGGGCCTTGCGATTTGCTCCCCTTGAGCTCTTTCCCTTCTCTAGCTCTCATGCAAGAAGAAGTAGAAAGAAAACAAAATTTTCATTCAAATATCATTCATTCATTGACCTCTCATGAAGAGGAGAAGACCTTAAATAGCCAAATGAATAAAGAAAAATACAAAGACCAAATTGCCCCTAAGGCTAACACATGACGAGGCCCTTAAGTAAGGGTATACATGGAAAGAAATACAATATACTCATAAAACAAAATACATCAAATGTAATAAAAAATTAAAAATCAAAAGTTGATCATGGCCGTAGATCATGCATGTCTCCTCGCGCTAGAACTCATGTAGATGTCCTCATCACTCACTCAATTAAGATCATTTCAAGGCAAATTGGCATAACTAAGAAGATTTATTTTTGATCTATTTGGACCTTTAGTTATGAAACCTTAATTGCAACTTTCAATGAGTCCAAGTTTTAGAAGTAGTTTATTACATTAAGTGATCCTACGTTTTTTAGCATCACAACATGAGTTGGGAGTTTGCTCGGGAGACACCTAGGAGGATTCATAACTAAAGGTTAGTCAAGAAGTCTAAGTTATAATTATAAAGTCCCTTGTGGTGTATGGCGGATTACCTAGTTACAAACTTATATTTGATAATGATTAATGATTAGTCATGGGAACTCACGCATGGAGTTGGAGTTTTTGTTATGAAACTTTGATTGGTTGGTTGAAGTCATGATTCATGTACCATAGGCGTGTTTCATAAGGTTATGAGTACACATAGTATTGAATATGCTGTTACAGATGTTAGAACAAGTGATGAGCATCACCATTGTAAGCAGAAATGCTTTCAGTTTATAGACAGAAGAGAGACAAAATCACATGCGCTAGTTAGGTCCTGTGAATAGCGCATTTCCTTTGCATTACCGTATAATCCCAGCCTTTTTGAAGGACTACCTTTGGTTCCTGAAATCTGTCTTGTCTTCACCTGTAAGAGTGAAGATGAAGGTGAATCCACGGATCTGTGCAATGGGATTTTGGAAAGAATGAGAAATTACAGGGAAGTTAGAATTTTTTAGATTTTTTTTGAATTTTGCAATTAAACCCGTAGAGTTTAATGTGCGGCTCATTGAACTATACTCCTAAACCATTTTTTTACCTGAGCTCTAGACGGCTAAGTGAGGCCCCTATCTGGCACCATAAATCATTGCAAGCCCCTTGCTTATTTTTGAGATGATGCGTACTCCTTTTTTCCTTTGCCGTTTTTATTATCCTATCCCTTTTTATTTATTATTATTCTATCCCTTGACTCTGACATTGTCCTGTTCTGCAGACACCCATAATTTGCTAAAAATCCTAGAGTTTGTAGAATTAACCTTACATTCTTGCATTGAGACTCTCTTTTAATCCTGAAGTTTACGGCATACACACACAAAAACCTATTTTTGGATAAAATATTTTTGCATACAAAAATCTATTTTTGCATGCATATATCCTTTCATTTTTCAATGGCGCAAAATAGTGCGCGCCATGACGCAAAATAGCATGAAAAAATATCGCGCAAAATAGCATGCATATATCCTTGCATACAAAAACCTATTGACAAAAAGTTTTGTACTTTCATTTACCTTTTATAAATTATTTCATATATTTCATTATTCCTTTCATATATTTTTATATGTATTTAAATCATTTATATATTCAACCATATACACTTTCAAATTGATTTTCTTCTTTCTTTACATATGTTTTAAATCAATATATAGTCCTTTCACATATTCATATATATCTATACTATCATACTATTTGATGTACATTTCTCTATAATACTCATTTAAATGTCAAATGTTCATCTTCACATATGCATTTTGATGCATGCATATTTTAGTTTATTTTCATTTTATTGTAATTTGAATATTATAGTTATTTTTTATGCTATCCAATGATGGAGAACTTCTAATGATCATGAGTAGGTAGTGCTTGGGCATGGCAAGCCTTGGGTGTGCTAGCTTCTTGTGTTCTTTTGGTCTTTGGGCTGCTTGTTGCCTCTCGGGTTGGGCCTTGGCTGCTTTGGTTTATAGCTGAATTTTGGGAGGTACTTGGTTCTAGCTCATTAATGCTTGAGCTGATGCTTTAGCTCATTATTTGGAGGATTAATTGCACTTATTAGCTCATTAAGTGGAGTGGTTTCTTGACTCTTTCTTTTCCATGTGTCTCTTCGGTTCTTATCTCCTCGCTCTCCTTCTCATGGGCTATTCCGATCCCCTGCTCTGTCCCGATTCCCTGGGCGCCTGCTCCGTTCCCTTGGCTGCTTTTACCCAGTTCCTGTGTTGCCTTTTTGGGTGATGTTATGTTTTGCCTGTTGGCCTTCTTCTTCTCCTTACCTGATTGGTTTGGTTGGAGGTGGAAATTGGCTATTTGATTGCCCCTTTTCTCTTATAAATTAGAGATGTATTTGTCATGAGGAGGTTGTTGATTATCTTGAGAAAAGTCTCTAAAAACCTGAGGGTTTCTTCTCCTTTCTTGAAAAAGCTTGAGAGCTTGTTCCAATTCTCTCTTCCTCCTCTCTATTTTGTCTTGGGCTTCTTACCTCTTCTTCTCTACGCAAGTTCCACTCCACTTGTATTCTTCTTCTTGAGCTATTGGAGGTGTTTGTTGGCAGAATTTGGTGACATTTGCTAGAGGAGTTTGGTTGGATGTTGGACCTTGTTGCTGTAGTGGACCCTTGGTTTTCAAGCCCTAAGCACTTATATTATTTTACCTGCTTTTTGTTGCATGTGAGGAAACAGTTTACCGGTTGTTCTGAGGATAGTGCTTTTATTTTTAGATTTTGTTTCGCTTGTTCGACTTTGAATTGTTTTGACGTTTTGTTTGGATGTCGGTTTGCTAGATTGAATCAAGTTTTGTTCTAGTTGTCCTAGTGTTCTCCTCTATTGACTCTTTCTTTCTAATTTGCCTGCATCACATTTGAATTAACATCTTCTTACATATAATAACATTCAAATATAAGTAAAACACTTATATAAAATATTATCTTTAGAATCTATATGGAAATACAACAATAAAATTTCTTTTCACAACTGTAAGTATCCACTTTGAATGTTTCGGTTTCAGCTTCTTTCAAATCTTCAACTCTTGAGATAATCTTTCTTACTACAATCTCCAATTCACATACAAATATATAACTCTACAATCTCCAATTCACGTACAAATATATAACTAATATCATCTTTTAACTTTCACTATTTTTATATAAATATTTCTTTAATAAATTCTTATCTCCAATATCCTTTTTGAGATATGTTATTAGCTTCAGTTGTCACCTTTGTACATCAGGTTAACCAATTCTCCATTGTTCCAAAATACCTTTAATTTGCATTAATCATTGCTAATGATAACATTAAGTTATTCACTAATATTATTGTAAGATCTACTTAAAATCTCATGCCATTATAATTTTCTCAATAAGTCTTGTTCTTTTTCTCTTTGAATCAAGACACTCCACACCACATTTCTCCTTCCTATTTGTTAATCACTTATTATGTCACTAATTAGTGAAAATAAAATATTAATAATTGAATGTAAGAAAATAATTAAATTCACTTACTCCTATTGATAGAAATGAAAATCCACTGATTTGTTTACCTCAAAATTTTATTCACTTCCTTTTTCAATTCCTTCTTCTATCTCCCTTTAATATAACTTATCTTTTCTTAGGAATCATAGAAGAAGAAAAAAATACTAAAATTTGAAAAACTTATTTTCTTCCTTCTTCTTCCTCTCAGCCGCTTCTCTTGGCAACAACTTTCTCACGTGATTTTCATCTTTAGGAGTGAGCGAACGGTAGTTCTTTCGTGTGAGTTGTTCTATTTCATTCCCGTACGCATTCTTTCGCTCAGAACCGAAAACCGAATCCTCCAGCCTTGCTCGCACTTGCGTGTGGTCTGCCTGGGCCGGGTTTACGCTCCAGTTTCCGCTCGGTTGTCCCTCTGTCATCGGATAGAAGCCGGTTCAACTGAATCGGCTGAACCGGTTCTCACATAGAATAATTAAAAAATGCTGAGTTAAATGAACGGAGAAATGCAAATTTTCTTCTATTTCTTTTTTATTATCTTTTCTTTGTTTCATATCTTTTGAAAAGGGGTTTGTTGTAGGTTGATTTTGATGTTACACAATACAATTTTATGTGATATGTGAGGCGTTTGTGTTTTCTGTACTTCATCCTAGAAGTTCACGCTTTTTTCACATTCTTTTTTTGTTTCATTGCAGAAATATTGGGAGGCCGGTGGTAACTGCAACTTGGTCATTGCCGCTGCTAGATTAGGACTTTGTGTGATCACTCTTGGTCATGTAGGGGATGAGGTTTATGGACATTTCCTTCTTAACGTGCTTCAGGAGGAGGGAATTAATATGGTTGGTTTAATTGAAGATTCTAAAGCTTCTAAAAATGCTGCCATGTATGAAACACTTATTTGCTGGGTTCTAGTTGACCCTTCTCAGAGGCATGGATTTTGTAGGTAGAATACTTAACTGTTACTTCATTTTGAACTTTATTAAGTTAAATTTTTAATTAGCTGGTTAGTTTAACATTACTAATTATTTTAAATGTATCAGTATTGCTGATTTTAGTGATGAACCTGCATTCAGTTGGTTGAATAAATTATCTGGACGAGTTGAGATGGCCATCCAGCAATCCAAGATCCTATTCTGCAATGGTTATGCGTTTGACGAACTTTTACCTGATCTGATAGTTTCTGCGTTGTTTTATGCTATAGAAGCTCAATCAGCAGTGTTTTTTGACCCTGGTCCTCGTGGAAGAACTCTTTTTAATGGGACCGCTGAACAGCGGAAAGCACTTGAGCGATTTCTGAAGCTCAGCGATGTCCTTCTTTTAACTTCTGATGAGGTTTGTTCCTTGCAATTTTTGGAGTATTGAACTGTAAATAGTATATATTGCTAGCCCAATCTTGGGTTTTAATTTTTCTCACCAGCAATTATTTTTATGTTGTCTTCCTTTTGCTAAATTTGCATGCTTTATCATACAAAATACATTTACTTTTTTTTTTTTAATAATTTGTTGGGTGCTGGTGGGAAAGTCAAGCATGTGCTTCCTAGCCTTGCGGAGGTTCCGTCTGTACCTATGGTTTTGACCCCTGTTGGCCTTGGTTGTGAGGACTCTGGGGTGAATGAATTAGCTGTGGAGTTGGATATTGTTGTATCTGTTGAGGCCAATGATTTAGAGCAAAAGGTGGATTCTAATGCTGTGTTGGTTTCGTTTTCTCTTGGGAAGGGTGACGAGATTGTGACGACTGGTCCTAACGTTGGTGAGATTGTTGAACCTCACAATTGTTTAACTAATCGGATAGTTTGTAATAGTGATCTCCATGTTTCTTTTGGAGATGTTAATGAGGGTATTATTCCTTAGTCTGATTATGGGGATGAATCTCCTGCGGGTAATGGGTCAGGGGATGATCGTTCTTCGGAGGGGCTGGTTTCACCTGTTGCGGTATGTATTGGGGTGGAGCCTGATGATGTTAGGGGACATTTGGTGGATGTTCCTCTAACTGTTGTCTCTAGTACATGCTTGCTGGCCCATCTTGCTGGTGGTAGTCTTTGGAGCAATGTGATTGGTTGGATCTAAATGAAGGTTTTTATTCAGATGGTGGGGGGGACTTGGATGAGTTAGCTATGGATGCCCCTCTAATTGCAGATGACAGATTTCTTAAAAAGAATGAGAAGTCTAGAAATCGTAAGACCAAAAAGAAATGATTTTTCCTTTTTGGTCTTTGCCTGGTTTTGACTTTATTGATATTTTGGATTTGCTTTAAGAGCGGCACAGAATTGGGGTCTGGACAATGATGAAGCATGTTTCCTGCATGCGCCTTGGATGACTTGGGCTTGGTGGGCAACCTTGGTGTAGTTTTCTGTTTTGCTGGATTTCAGTTTCTGGATGCTTCCTTTTATTCCTCCTTGGATGACCCATGCCTGGCAACCAGGTAGCGGTTTGAGTCCGTCTGACTTACCCGTTATCAGACTTTTGACCCTTTTGATAATTGTATTCTTATGGATGTACTTTTATTTCCATTGGCCTATTGTTGTGTTGTGGCCGTTTGTTGTAATAGCCCTTTTTGTCAATAAAATTTGGTTTTGTTAAAAAAAAAAAAACATTTACTCTTTTTAGAAGCCAAAGTCTTATTGTGCAAGTAAATAACTTGTTCTTTGTTATACTCTTTATTATTATTATTATTATTATTATTATTATTATTATTATTACAAATAATATAATTATTTGTTTTGATTTCGGCCTTAACTCTGGAAGGTAGTTTGTGTACTCAAGTCATCGCTCGCCACTTTACAGTTAGATAAAAATAAAGGATCATTAGCTTTAGGGAGATGTGAATCCATTTCGATGTTGTTTGTTTTTTGATTATGTAATGGATGATATAGAATAAGTGACATTTTGGCAAGTGACGCAGTTTGACGATGGCCAGCAATAACATGGTCCAAGGAATGTGAATCACAATGGAGACAACGTAGGCCACATACTGACGCAATTGAAAATGGTTTGATTTCAAGGAATATATTTTGCCAATAAAAGACTCCTTTTGGTGTATTTCATATATATTAAAAATTTACTTTAACATTTCTTTATCTTGCACCAATCAATCATTAAAAGAGTGAGAATAAAAAACAATAAACCTCAAGCAAGGTAAGCAAAGGTAAACCTTAATGCTTCTATTGTGAACTTTTATTCTGAGGACTATTCTACTTGACAAGATTGGACACTTAGTGCAGGAGTTGAGAAGCAAACCAGAGGGATGAACAACGTCATCTAGAGGTGCTCTAGGATTTGATTTAGTTGAAGAAATTATGTTTTGTTTATTTTGTATATTTTAGTTTTAATTTCAAATTTGTTTGCATTTATGGTTTATTTTGGTAAAATTAGGTTGATTTATCTTTTTGAGCAATGTTAGGTTTGAATTTGAAAATTTTATGATTAAATTTTCTTTTGGAGATGATTAGATTTGATTTCAAATTAACAAATTATTTGTCTTAACTTTGTAACCCTATTTATAAAAATGTGCATTCATTGCTTATAAGTGATTGATTGATTATTGATGTGATGAAATTATTCTAGATGCCTAATGCGAGCAGTCTTTTTTTTAATCGAAATTGTGTATGTAGATTGCTCCAAGTTGTGTAGTGTTCATCTATTTACTTTTCCCATTTACAACAATTTGGTTTTAGAGTCAGATGGGAAAAGCAAAATTTTAATTCATTCCTCTCTTTATCCCGACATTCTTACCCTCTAGAACTCCATCCCCTACTCATGTCCTATGAAACTCCATCCCAAACTTGTTAAACTCAAAATACCGTTATTTACTATTTAAATTTCACTGACAATCAATTTTAAAGTTGAATGCTCGACCCACCTACTCACTATAACCCAAAAGTCCCTGAAACCAAGGTCGAATAATCTCTATCCCTTTTTCACGTATCGAATCTCTCTCCTATGACCACAGTATCACAGTCACTCATGCCTTTCTAGAGATTCACCGGCGCTCATTTTTTTCCGACAATTTTTTGCTACTTATCTTGTGTTTCCATTCTACTTCTCTGGATTATTGCTCTCACCATACATCTCTTGACCGACCTACTAAACAACCAATCTCTCTTGAGCGCTATAGATGCTATCATTCTTTTAATCCTGCTCATAAAGCTTGTAAAGTCACAATCAAAGCCTTGCTTCTTTTCGCATCATTTGGAACACATACATTAACCACTTCTTTACCACCAGACGCGCACTTCTCTAGTTGCGTCTTCCTCAATCTATCATGTTCTCTACCTTCTCTAAGAACCCTTACTTACCACATAAAACTTTCCCTCTAAACACATTCATTTCTTACTTCTTTGGACCACTGGATTGGAAGTGGGATAACATCAGTCCTTATTTCGTGTCTGCTTGATATATTCATTACCTCCTCAAATATCATTAGGTTCCTTGTAACACAACTGTTCAACAAAAACTCAAACATGGATATATATTCACCACAATTCTATTATTCACTTATCAAATTTCAACAGCATCATATTATCATAAAAAAGGACATCAAGATGCCTTGAGTGCCATCTTCATCATTCTCATATTTACCTTGCAAATGATTTTGTTTATCGACATTGATCAAATGTTCTTTTTCACATAAATATGAAGATTATCCTAAATTTAATTCTCATATTAGTATTCATAAGTTATAATTTTGGTTATGATATATTGGATGTTTAATTCTAGATCACATAAATCAAGTTATGATTTGTCTCATTCTCTTGATCAAAAGTTGCAAACGTCATACTCTATAAAACTTGTGATACCCTCACCAATACATCTTCAAATAAGGTTTTTGATACCGGGTGGAAATATCCAAACCAATTTAGCCAACCAAACACGCCTCCTTGTGGTCAGCCGAACATCTTCCTATGAGCCTGAAGTTCCTCCTACCCCGATAGTATGATGCCGGAGCTGAGCTGTTTGATTGTATTGACTTCAGACTATTTTTATTCCATTTGGTAGCTTATATGGCTACATAGGTTTAGTGCTTGCTTTTGTTTGTGTGTAGCCTATTATGTTGTTACATGTCTATAAATACTTAGCCATTGATTGTAATAGGCATATTTGGAGATGAATAATATTTGAGTTTTACTCTATTGTGAATTCCTGTATCCTAAGATTTGTTCTTAGGTGGTGAGTTCTTGCTCCAATGAGTTCTTGGAGTGGTGTCCGACGATCGTGATCGGATCATCAACGTGGATTCGTCGATCCCCCTCCGGTCCGGTGTCATTTGGTATCAGAGCCGGCAAGTTGCTGGCGTTCTTGTCCATCGCCGTGTCGCCTTCGTCGCCAGTGTCATTTATTCACCTCGTCTTGGAGAGACTTCAACATAAGCTGGAGCTGATGACAAATGGGATAGCTGACAAACTCATTTGGCATCTTTAGTAGCTCCTCCAAACAGCACTCTTCACGAGTTTTATTGAACTGAACACAAAATGGATCAACTATGCACATATAGGTATCCACAGAGATTGCCTCCAAGACTTTGGTGTCGGAATGTGTAAAGGTACCAAGGGGGTTGTCGTGGTCAAGTTTGGTCATATCAATTTCGCGATCAATGACGGTGAGCATATTTGTTGTTTTGTCTGGAATGATATGAATGACTAGCTCCAGCGATGCATCCACCTTGCTCTCCTCATCATCATATATGGGTTGATCAAGATCAAGAACTCCACCGAACAGTCGTCATCATACACGTCGTGCACTGGCTCATCATAGAGAGGCAAAGACAATGATTTCATAACCAGATCTTCAAAATCTTCGAATCTGAACTTGATCGTGGGTGGGGTGGAAATCTGACGAGGTGACCCTTCAAATAACGTCTTCGTATGAAGGACTCTGATCATCCAAGATATCTTCTCTGTCATTGATTCGTAGGGATTCGACCTAAATGGAGGATTTGTAAGCCACCAATGGAACAACTTTATTCTGTGGTTGGATGCTAGGGGAACTCAAGCCTTTCCTCCATTTGAGCCTTGACAGCCGCTGCTGGAGTTGTACAATTTCTTGTTGAAGATCTTCGATTTCTGCTTCTTGAATTTGTCTTTGATGATTTTGGCAATGCAATATCTTTCGGGCTCTTCTAGGGCAAATGAGACAGTGTGGAATAATGTGGCAAATGTGATCTTCCTAGAATCACCGGTTGGCGTTGGCTTCTCCTATTCAAACACAAGTTAAGATTACCAAAACACTGGTGACAAGAGCACGGCTGATGACACCTACACCTTCTTGATCAATTAGTTAGAGAGATTTCCTCAGTACCAGAACAGAGAATTCTTCATAACCGGGAGAGCTATGCTGTCTTTACATCCCAGAACTTGTAACCCTCATTTTGTGAGGAATTGGTTGGAAAGAAGCTGAGTTGAAAATTGCCATGGCGGTCTTCAAGAATTAGATTGGAGCATCTAAAACTCAATCCAATCAGCAGGCGGAGTTTTTTTTTTTTTTTTTTTTAATTTATTTATGTTAATGGAAGAATCATCCAAGAATCAGTCAACGTCTTGTTGATGATAGGTGCCTTGCATTGTGGGGTCAGCAGAACGGTCAGGGGATGGCGCTGGACTCGGAGATGGCTGATTGTGGAGAGCAAGATTGGTCGGACTAAGCAATGACTGTGTGCGGGATGTGCGGTAGAGCAGGACCTGTGGGGAAACTGGTTGGGCGCGGGTGGTGGCCTCGAACCGCAAGTGGGGCGCTGGATGCACGATGGGTAGTATACGGAGATGGTTAGAACGCGGTGTGCAATAGGGAGATTTCTTGTCTCTGAGATCTCAGCATGGATGGTGGTAAGCCAAAACATTGACATAGGGAAGTCGCCGAGCACTCATCTTCGGGCACAATCAAAACCAACAAGAAGAAGAAAGAAACGAAGAAGAAGAAGCAAAATGGAAAAGATCAGCATGTAACCACTACTTAGAACTCCAGGAGACCAGATGACGCCAATCCACTTGGATGCTTAGCGACTGCTGGATCGCCCTTCAGAGCTTCTCCGGTTCTTCTCTTCACGACCTAAGGAATTCTCAGGATACAGAGCAAGAAGAACCTATTGGCTCTGATACCAAATGACACCGACGACGGAGGCGACACAGCGATGGACAAGAACGCCATCAACTTGCTGGCTCTGATACCAAATGACATCGGACCGGAGGGGGCTCAACGAATCCACGTCGACTATCCGGTGATGGTCGTTGGACACTACTCTAAGAACTCCTTGGAGCAATAATCCACCACCTAAGAACAAATCTTAGGATACAGAAATTCACAAGAGAGTAGTACTCAAATATTATTCATCTCCAAATGGCTAGGTATTTATAGACATGTAGTAACATAATAGGTTGCACACAAATAAAAGCAAGCACTAAACCGATGTAGCTAAATAAGCTACCAAATAGAATAAAACTAGCCTGAAGTCAATACAATCAAACAGCTTAGCTCCGGCGTCTGTTTTCCTCTCAATACACTGTACAAGTTTCCTATGTTGGCCTCATGCATCTTATAGCATTTTCTGGTTCATCAACACATGCTTAAACTTTTTTATTTTTTCCCTTTATAATAATAGCCCTTATGATGATGTTTATGATTTTACATCTATTAATGATGACTTACCAACACTTGAGTTTATTATTGTGCTTGATGTTAAGCGGGTTATTATCAGAGGTTAACCCATAATTTATTTCTGACGAAATGTCTAAAGCTTTTGAATTTTCTGGAACATTTTTGCAGTTTCTATTGATTATAACAATGAGATACCTTTAGCTATACCAAAAGCTAGCAAATGATCTTCTCCAACTTCTTGCAGTGATTGTTACTGCAATTTACTTTCTCACTTCTGAAACATACATTACTTCATTTGATTACAATTGATTCACACATTTGCTAGATATTGAATTTGTGCTCTTGCTGCCATCATTATCACTTTGTTTATTGTTGGTCCGCATTGCAAAATCTTTTAGATGTATGAAATTTGGAGCCGTACAACTCCCAAGCTTCTAAATCTATGCGTGTTCTTTAGACTTCTCATACTTAATGACTTTTACTTCCATTAAATGGTGATACCACCCTTTCCACATTTGCTGTTTCCTACAAATTATTCGAAGAAGAAATTTTTTTAGGTCAAGTGAATTGATGCTCTACAAAAAATTATGTTTCGACTACTTCTAAGCGAACCTATAAGACCGTCTCTTAATCAATCTTTAAGAGAAATTGCCAAGTGAAGTGCAAAATTCTAAAAGCTTAACTATAGGCAACTTCCGATGGGAGCTGTAAAACCTGCTATTTAGGGAACTTCCAAGAAAAAGTGTTAAACCCTCAAACCAAAACCCAAAACCATAGGCTACTTCTAATGGGAAGCAGTAAGTCCTATCTCTTATAAAATCACAGGCCACTTCCAATAGAACTAGTAAGCCCTATTATTGGGAAACTTTTGAGAGAGGTGACCTTCCCCAAATCAAACTATAGACTACTTCCAAGGAAAGCCACAAGGCCTGCTGCATGGGCAGCTCCTAAGTGGAGCCGTAAGCCCCAACCTAAACCTAAACCTACGAGTAACTCCTAAGCAGAGCCAGAAGGCCGACCTAAACCTAAACCTAAACCTACGGCCAACTCCCAAGCGGAGCCGTAAGCCTTAGCTCAAACCAAACCAAACCAAACTACCATAACACTAAAACCCACATCTAACAACTTCAGTTTATTTGGGTTCCATGAGATGAGGCAATCCACGATTGCTAATTAGATTCCCTAGACACTACGATCAATGATTGTTTGTGTTGGTAGATTGAAACCTACGGTATTCCCGAGATGATGGAACCATGGTATCTTGATCGGGTCTACCTTCATCCCCCACAACCAAGATTTAAACATTTATAATTCTAAATTTATTCATCCTTAATCTAGAGTTATATTCTACGCGATAGGAGGGGTAATTAACTATGGGGGCTTGTGCTCATAGGAAGTAGGAACCCATAACTAAATAAATCCCGATACAATCATCGGAGAAAATCTGATTAATTAAAATTCAATCTACCTTAGAAACCAGCTTATGTTATATCGATCTTCCTGATAATTGAAAACATCAACGGCTGATAAAATTTGTTTATTATACTTTCAGGCGGCAGCTGCATATTTTGCAAAATGTTTTATGAGTGGTTTTAGTTTTTGTTCTTCAACATGCATCCCTGTAAAATTTGGTTGATCTATATTATACTAATTACCTTATGACCTACCTTTACTACAATTATGTACCAGGCTGAGTCATTAACTGGGATAAAAAACCCGATTCTGGCAGGAAGGGAACTGATTGAGAAAGGCATTCGCATTAACTGGGTTATTATTAAAATGGGAGCTAAGGGATCGATGCTGATCACCAAGTCGAGCATTTCTTGTGCTCCTGCGTTCACGGTACAATTTCAATCTAAGACTTCGGCTTCGTTTGGGACGACTTTCTTTCTGCTTCTTAAAGCAGCTTCCTAGTACAAAAATTTTAATTTTAATTTTTGTACTATAAAGCTGCTTTAAGAAGCAATAAGAAAGCCATCCCAAATGAAACTTTCATTTTAGACAACTTTTTTATTGCTTCTTAAAACAACTTTTAAATTTAAAATTTAAAATTTTTATACTAAAAAGCTACTTTAAGAAACAGTAATAAAGCCATCCCAAACGAAGCCTAAATCAACGCATCCTTTTGGGGTGGCACAATTTTTTTAATATTTTTTAAAATAGTTTTTTAGTATAAATTTTTTTGAAAGCAACAAAATAACTACGGCCAAAAGCTGTCCCAAATCAAATCAAAAGCAGCTAAGTAAAAGCACATATTTGTTTGTATAACAAATTGTTTACATCTTTTTTAATTTTACCTTAGAAAAACCGCTGAAAAAAAATCATTGTGGTTGAAAAAATAATTTTTAACATCAAAATGAAGCCTTAACTCTCTAAGTTGTGTTAATGATAAATTGAGATTCCATACTAAGAACATAATTTACTTTCTTCTACACAGGTAAATGTCGTAGATACTGTTGGCTGCGGAGATAGCTTCACTGCCGCTATAGCTTACGGATTTCTGCATGACCTGCCGCCTATCAGTACTTTGGTGCTCGCAAATGCCGTAGGTGCGGCGACCGCCACTGGTTGCGGAGCAGGCCGAAATGTCGCCACCATAGCCAAGGTTTTGGAACTTCTGAGACTATCAAACATAAACGAAGACTATGAGTTTTGGACTGAATTGATCAATATTGAGCAAGCAATTGAAGAGATTTCCCTCCTCTCAAAAACAAGTGTCAATGGCTGCAGTGACCGTCTGATCCTTGTTCCCATACAAACCGTTATCTCCCAGCTAGTTCCCAAGCTTGAATCAATGGATAGTAACAGAACTGGTGTCTTTCATGACAGAGAAGAACAAGTGATGGAATCTACATGAGTAGATTCCATTTACATCACTTTGCTATGCTAATTGTTCGAAGGACGATTTGGTGAAGCCTGCAAATTATTTTGTGCGGACACCAGATGAAGATAACCGTCCTGATTGCTGTGCTTTTATTGTCTTTTTGTTGCGCTTTTGCAAAAGGGCAGTAAAAATGTAACAAATATTTAATATTTACTAAATAATTAAATATTTGGTGCACTTTTGCAAAAGGGCAGCAAAAGTTCAATAAAAATGCATTCATAAAAGACTTTTTGCAAAAGTGTAGCAAAAGGGTAGCAAAAGGCTAGCAAAAGCATAGCAAATTCGGACAGTTCTCTCAGTCAGGTGTCCGCACAGAATAATTTCTCAATTTTTTTGTGCCCATTTCTATGGCCACACATTTGATTTTTCTGTAAGTTTTTTGTTCTAACTGCCTTTCCAAGTGGCAATGTAAATAAAGAAGGCTCAGCAAAGATAATAAGAAATTAAGTTTTATGGTTTTTATGAAGATTAATGGTGCAGCACTGTAGTTGGAAATTCCAGTTGATCGTATAGTACGAGGTGTTCATCCTTAAAGAAACTTACATTCTTATTAACAATTTTGGATTGTTAATAGTGTGACCATTTTTTTTTTTTTAGTATTTTTTTTTTCTTGAATGTTCAAGTAAGAAATTTTTTAAGTTTTATTATTATTATTATTATTATTATTTAGAATTTTTTTTTAGATGTTCAGTTGTGCTGTACTCTTTAGGGTTTGAAATTTGTCTTTTTAGACTGTTGGTATTTTGATGGAAGGAAATTCCGGTTTGTAGAGTTGATATATTAGATTTGAATTATATTAAAAAAATTAGAGATAGATGTAACAAGATTTGGTTAAAAATATTATAAATTTATTTTTTTATTTTTTATTAAATTTAAATCAGAGTTTAGGCCTAATTTGATTGGGCGTTTTTGGTTCTTATTCCTTTTTAAAATCTTAAATATATATTTTGGTTCTTCAAACCAAGTTTTTAATAGCATCATTTTTTTTTTCATTTTTCTGCTGTTTTAGAAAAGCTTTTTATATGTGATTCTTCGTTAGAAAATTCATTTTTCTAAACCGTTTTTTCTTAAAACTACCTTTTATAAAATTACTAGATAACCAAACGAAGTCTTAATAAGACATAATAGAGAAAAAAGATTTTTGTAATTGATCTCATATAGTAGGATAAAGGTTTGAAGTTGTTGTTATTGTATATTTTATATTTAATTCAGAAATAATCTATGAGTTATAAAAGGGAGAAAATACTTATGATTTAAATAATATTATAATAAAATGATAAAAAATATGAACTAAAAAAATAATAAATTACTTGATATAAGAAAGTAAGATATAAATTTTAAATATTTTATGCAACTTTTTATTTAAAATTATGAATAATAATATATTTTAAGTATATTTTATATTAATATTTTTTTAATGAGATGGCTCACTAACAAATGAGTAGAGTCAGGGTTGGCTCAAATTTGACTTGTTAGTTCATCGAGTTGGATTCATGAATTATCTATTGAGTCAAGTTCAAGCTTGTTCATGAGGCAGGCTGACTCAGTTACACCGTTAGCTTAATCGGATGTTGGACACAGCTCTATGTCTATAGGCGAATCAGGTGCAACCACGTCAATGCTACTGAGCCACCACACTTAGCAATATCAAGCCGTGATATCGAGCAGAAAAAATCGTAGAAAAAATTTCTTTAGGTTGTAGACGCGCATGGTCAGCCGTACCATCAACGTGACTGCCCAAAATCTCGATTCTCGAGAAATTATTAGGTACGGAGTGCGGACGGGAGAACCGTCTGCACACTAGTATAAAATAGTATTCGGTACCGTTCGGTACCACTCGGTACCATTGGGTACCGCTCGGTACTCTGTATCTGTGCAGACGGTTCTCACCCCGTCTGCACTCCGCACCTAATAATTTTTCTCGATTCTCATACCTCCAGTTGAAAACCTAAAAACCTCCGCTTCACTCTAGCGCTTCACTCTAGCGCTTATCCTTTCCGTCGCCACCCGCCGGCCGATTTCTCCACCATTATGTTGAGATCTCCCTTCTCTCTCCTCCGCCTCACTCGTTCATATCTTATCCGGCCGGAATCCACTTCAGCCTGGTCACCGCCTCCACCTCTCGATCCCTCCCCACGCGTCTCTGCTATCGTCGACGATCTCGCCGGACTGACGCTCCTCGAACTCGCCGACCTAACTGAAACTCTACGCACTCGATTGCGAGTCGATCAGATGCCCGTTGTAGCCGTGATGACTCCCGGAATGGTCGTCGGCGGCCTGCCAGGAACCAATAAGTCTTCTTCCGGGGGAGCTGCGTCAGCTGCCGAAGTGAAGGCGGAGAAGACCGCGTTCGATTTGAAACTAGAGAGCTTCGACCCTGCTTCCAAGATCAAAATCATTAAAGAGGTGAGAAGCTTTACGGATCTCGGCTTGAAGGAGGCCAAGGATTTGGTTGAGAAGACGCCTGCCGTGCTCAAAAAGGGGGTTCTCAAGGAGGAGGCCGAGAAGATCGTGGAGAAGATGAAATTGGCTGGTGCGAAGGTTGTCATGGAATGAGTGAGGTAGGGTTGGGACTTACATCGTCTTCTCTTAATTGTTTTTTCTGCTTGGATATAATGTGGATCAGTAAGAGAAGATGAACAAAATTGCTTCTCTTTCGATAAAATTTGCATATATGAGGCTATGATTTGGAATATAAATTTCCTGCCAAAGGTTCTAAGAATTCACCTAACTGTTGCTACGGATTATTGAGAATTTTTTGTTCTCTAGTTTAGCATGTCTGAGTTCTGGAGGAGCTGCTAAGTTAATTTTTCTTTACTCCTTAAACTAATAAGTACTCAACAATTTTTGAAGCAGATTAATGAAAATATTGGATCTTTGGCTCTTTATCCCCAGTCTGGAAGATTGTGGGAATCTGTAGAGGTATTGCAATGAAGAACCTGATAATTGTAAAGGAAATGGTTAGGATGAGCATTGTTCATAGCAATAGAAGAACTATTTTGAAATTGAAACTTGCTAATTATGTTGAGAAGATCTTGAACAAGTTCACTATGCAAGATGCACAATTTGTCAGCGCTCCTTTGAAAGTCAGATTAAGCCTTCAAAGGAGTAATTACTCAAGACCTAGAATACCATACGCCTTAGCAATTGACAATTTAATGCTATGTTTTTCTTTTTAAACCCAGTATAGCGGTGAATTATTTTGTGTGGACGCCGAACGCCATCCGAAGCCTAATGAAAATGCATCACGTCACCCCTACTCGGTAACGCGGCTTAGTACTGCTCAGTAATAGGTGACGTGGCTGCACCTGATTGGCCTCTGGATGGTAAGCTGTGTCCGGTGTCCGCACAGAATAATCTCTCCAGCATAGAACATCTATGGGAGTTGCGAGCAAGTATATTGGTAGGTATCAATTTGATTTTTTGACATTATACAGGAAGCACTGATATGAGACGATTATTAAAGGGGATAATAAAACTCTAGGAGGTTTTTTAGAAATTAACTTAGATGGTAATGTACCTAGACTCATATGAATCAAATAAAAAGTTTTAAATATTTACTAACATTTTACCTAGACTCATATGAATTTTTTTTTTTTGAGGGATTTACATACATACCATTTTATTATTATTATATAACATTTAAAACATTAATATTACATGCATAACATCCATATAATAAATATGAATGCATGGAATGAAATATTAAAATTTATAGGGTGATATATTTGATATTAAAATTGCATATTGATGATATGCATGTAATATTAATATTTTAAGTGTTAGATATGTAAATAACATGAAATAAAATGATATGTATGTAAATCTCTCTTTTTTGTATTGGAAATTTGGGTTTCATAAAGCCCAAAGAGAAGATGATAGAGAATCAAATGGTCATGAGAATTTAACTTAAGGTTTCGTTTGGAATGACTTTCTTTCTGCTTCTTAAAGCAACTTTCTAGTATAAAATTTTTTAATTTTATACTAAAAAGTTACTATAAGAAGTAAAAAAAAAAAAAAACCGTCCCAAATAAAATCTAAGAAAACGTTCCCAGATATCTGATTATCAGGATGCGCAGAAGATCATATACAGCCATGGAACATCAAGCAGACTAGCAGAGAGCTATCACAGCCATTTTCATTCATCTTAAATTCAGTTCTAACATAAATTCATGTTGATTTGAAGATTTCATTAGTTATATTTTTAAGATTTGGTTTTTATTTTTAATCAAATGGCTCATACATTATGCTTATTATACTTAAGTTTTATACGATTTCACAATATCAATATTCTTAAAACTAAAATAAATCAAACCAATTAGTTCCTCCCATTAATTTTTTTTTTTTTTCTGTTCACGTTGTATTTAACAGATTAGCATTTTAAGATCAAGTTTCTTATTGTAGATGTTCAAAATACATAAAGTGTATTACAATTTTGTTCATTTTCAGTGAAGACCTACCAAATCAATCAGTTTATGTAATCTTGCCAGCCAAAATCAAACTTACCAGATAAAATCACTTCCTTTTCAATTTTTATAAAGTGATTTTCTATACACTCGTAGTAGAAATTATGAATTAAAGAGGAAATATCTACTGTTCATATTGCCAATATACAATATGAACAATGTAAAATGGAAGCAAAGCTTCTTTCAAGTTGATCAACTGCAATAATGAAATAAAATCTAGCATTATTATCCTGCAGCTATGGCCCTTTTTGGTCTTTGGTAGGAGTTGTATGGCTTCAATTAAAGTTGCATTTTCACAGACTTCTCCTAATTTTGATATTCCATGCGACTTGACTCAAACTGAAAATTACAGCAAGTTCTCACATCAGTGAAGCCCACCAATCTGCTAGAAATAACTTTAAATATAAAATAACTTAATAGCTCTTAGTTGAACAATAAAGCAATAGTTACAGGATTTTATTGATTTTTGTACAGCAGCTGCGATGCTACAAAATGGATGAACCTGCTTAGTAATTCAATGGATGGACCATTATGAATGGACAGATGAACCAGCCATGACTCTTCTGGTGGAGAACCTGCTATAGATATAAGTCCTCACAGCTGCTTAAACTCAAGCAGAACATGAGTGGCTGTGGCTGCTTTTCCAATGACTTCAGCTTCTCCAATGAAAAAAAAAAAAAAAACCACTGCATCAACAGCAATCAGATCTCTCTATTTCAATAGCTGAATGATGAATCAAGACCCGGTGCTCTGTCAGTAATCAGAAAGATTCAATGGTGATTATTCCAATTCCTTGACACAGTAATGGATTTGATTTCTTAGGGATTTAGTCATTAAAGTCCTCATAAGATGATCCACCAGATGAGTCACTCTGAAATGGAGTCGTCTCCCTTGGGGTTGATGGATGAGATTCTCGAATTTGTAAAGCTGAGCCTGTAGAATAAAGAAGGTGTGAACGTGTTCAGAATAGCTAAACTCAAAAGAAAGACAAACTATCCCGCCATTGAGATAAAAAACCAGCTATAAAATGCATAATCCATACTAGATCACCTGAATTCTTCTGAGCTCTTGAGCGAAACTTTCTCGTGTGCCGACGAATGAGTTTTTTTGCTTTTGTAATGGTCAATTGGCGTGCAAAAGGATACTCAGTATCACTCTCACTCCACTCACCATTGAACTCATTCTCTGCCTCCCCTCGCATGGTTCGCAAGACAAACGCCTTGGCCTTGCGGCGTTGGGAGTTGAAAAGGCCCCTTATTGAAGTGACAAATCCATCACCAGCACCATCACTTGGCCGTTTGAGCCATGATACAGGAAACTGATCAAACTTCCCAGGTTGGCCACCATCACTGTCACTGAAATTGAGATCACTCTCAGGCACAACACCAACATGGCCTTCTCTTTGGCTTTGAACCTTATCCTTGAACTTTTTACCCTGAGAAATAGGCAGCAGCAAAGATAATTAATCATTCGTTATAGCACTAATAATTTTGGCATTTTCCCTACCGACTTAGGCTTCGTTTGAGACGGCTTTCTTACTGCTTCAAGAAGCAGTAAAAAAGCTGGTGAAACAGTAAGAAAGCTGTCCCAAATAAAACCTTAATTAGCAATAGTTGAAATAGTTTTCTTTACGCTCAAGGATAATTACCTGCATTCCAGTCACTGATTTCAAAACACCCCATATGATATGTTTCTTAACACGTGAAAACAGCCTTCTCCATGTTCCAATAAACTCATCACGATGGAATGTATCCATCAACAACCTCAAGTCATTCACTGCAAATCTTGAACCTTCATAGGTAACAAGCAACTCAACCTATTCATAGATATACAATGGACATAATTAATAACATATAAGGCATAGCCACATAACCAAGTAATACATCAAAATAAAGTCTTGACCTGACTAATTTTGATGTTATGGAACTCCATCATTCTCCGGGACCTAGCTCTCTTCTCATCATGAGGTTTTCCAACCTTCTTTTCTTCATTTGACAAGCGTCCTGGCTTCATGGGCTTTGGGTCTTTTGATTTACTCCTAAATGTATCCTCAGTAATAGCTTGCTGAGATTCTAGTGCAGGATTCAGTTGGCCACTTTTGGAAGAAATGCATAAACTATACAATGGGAGGACAGGCTCATTAGTTATAGACTCGGCTAAAGTTTCATCCATTCGGTCATATGAAGGTGTACGGCGAAGTTCAGGATTTGCTCCACACACAATATTTGCTTTCAGGCTTTGCAACTTCGACACCTGCATACAGGTTTATCAACATAAGGAACTCAGATGGTAGTGTAAAAATTGAAGTCTAGATAAGTTTAAATCCACATTAAGGCTTTGTTTGGGACGGCTTTTATACTGCTTCTTGAAGCAGTTTTTTAGTATAAAAAATAATTTTTTTTACTAGATTTCTACTTCAAGAAATATAACACTGCCGTTGCCAGGTCCCAAGTCCTGGATGAGAAAAGTGGAGGGTTGCGTTAGGTAGTCGACAGCCAGCGTAAAACTTGTCGAACAATAATGACACACAAACGAAGCCTAAATTTCTCAGAAGTAGCATAATCCGTGAAGAACACAGATGAATGTTGGTCTCAGCGAACATAAAGCTCAATCATGAAATAATGAGTTCCTTGGAAGTCTCATTTTTTTCATTATTCTAATTTCATTCTCCAATCACATATTGAAGTTTGTGTCTCAAAGAATAAAATTAACTAAATAATACATGACTGGAAAAACTTACTTGGGAAGAATCACCATGAACTGAAGTGCTAGCATTAACCTGGGATCCTGCCATCACAGGCCTTCCTGTACTTTCAATTTCTCTAGTGCAGTGGCTACTTGATGGATTTACCTCGTGGACAGATGGACTTTTTTTTACTCGTCTAGAGCCAGCAGTTGTTGAAACTTTCCATACCTCCTGCACAGATTGAAGAAGAAGAAGAAAAAAAAAAACTAATAATAAGACCGCAGAATAAGTGCGATAAAAACACGAAAGATCAGCAGCATATGTAAGCATGATTATTACCTGTCGCCTCTGGGAGTCTTGGTCTTCTTCCGGGAAGAAGTAACCCCACATCATTCGGTACATTGTTTCCGTTAAATGAATCTTCAAAGGATAGATCTCTACCTGCAGTTCCATTATCAAAAGAATTACCAATTCTGCAAGAAGCAAGAAAAGTCTTCATACAAGCACCTTTTATGGCAATTAATGTCTTGTGAAGAACGAATAATGACATTACAGATATCACAGAAACAATGAGCATAACATGGAATCAGCAATAAAATCCAAGGTAACAACTAGAAGACGGTGCCAGATCCCTGAATCATAAACATTCCAATCATTCTGTAGCGAAGCGTTGAAGTTAATATTCTAAAGTGCTTGGAAGCCAACTTCAAAGATCATTTAATTTAAGATAAGCTAGATTTGTTGACTGCAATATTGAGTTATACCTTGGACCTGTCGTATAAAACACTACCTTAACCACCTCAACAGCTTAGCCTCAAAATAAAATACTTATAAAAATTTGTTTAAACTTTCAAGTATGAAGCCTGTATTAGGATGTAAAACATAAATCGTTTTCTTGTCCTCACAAGGATGGTGTAAAACTGTATCTCAATATGAAAAAAATAACAAAGAGTGCTTCCCAATATAAATAACTTAAAAAAATAACAGAAAATGGACAAAGCTAAAAAAAACATTTAAGATACCGTAGACACAATTATTTTATTCATCAACCCCTAAGTTAAATTTAGAATTTTATAATAAAATATATCACAATAATGGAAACAGTGTTGACCAATATTTGAAATAGTCATGAAGTCCGTCATTATGTTCAGTTATGAACCGTCAACAGATTTAACATTCAACATCGAAGTATACTTAAATTATTTTTTAGTTTAATTTTTGAGTTGTCATTTAGTCTGAATTTGAAAACGTACAACTTTCTAAGCCACTATTCCCTATTAAAACCTCGGAAATTGGACAATAAACTTTGTTGAACTTTGAAAACTTGTAGAAGGGATGAATCATGTGATGCATGATATGTAGACAACAAGCCATGTATAATGCATTGTGAAGTGAATGGAACGACTCAGGTGACGATGATATTTGGACAACAAACTAAGTGTAATGCATTGAGTCATTAAAATAAAACAGTGAAACATAATGGGTAATTAATCCATAAAAAAGCTTATAAAACGTAGGTACCCAAATCCAGCACATGATCAGGTAAGGACAACCAATCTTATAGATAAAATGAATTTATTTGAAGTTCACACAGAACTTCTCTATTGTCAACAGAAGCCAACATATCTGAAACCATCCATACCACTAAAATATTCTTGGTACTATGCAAGAGCTAAGATTTGCAAATTTTTTTTTTTTTTTGCATTTCTAGCTCTTCGCACTCATTCTCTGTTGGTCTTATTTTAGCTATAGAATGAAAACGGAAAGGAAAAAAAACTAAAAATATGTTTGCAATCTAGATTATTCGTAAAACTGGATGCAGATATCAAGAAATGGTAAAATTAAAACCATATGCAGTAAGATAGGCAAATTCACAAAGAATGAATGTCATGATTTCAATTACATCAATGTAATATGTATTCTGGAATCAGTGGATGAATAAAGGAGCGTCTGAAGTTGGTATAAGGTGATAGATTAACAAAGAGAATTTAAACATGGAAATATCAGAAGACAATATTAGCAGCTTTATGTCGCAGAACACCCCAACAGAAAAAACTAGGGACCTTAATAGGGTAGGAAAGTGCTTGGAAAAAGAACAAACATCATAGAGGAAGAGTGTGCTTTTGAGTGGACCACTTTTTCCACATACTAACATTTATAACGTTTTACGGTAAAATCAACAGAACTAACCTGAAAAAGTTCAAGTGGTGAACTTCCATCCTTTGGAGCTCCCTGTTTGGCATTTACACGAAGCATAACATTTCTGGCAGCAATCACAAAGTACTTACTCTTATCAGTTTCTCATTCATTTTTTGAAAATGAAAGGGAAGAGTTTGATTTCACTAGAAATATAAATATCCACAAGATTAGATCAATAATGCAACCACAAACAAATATTTAAACTAGTTTTATCAAATAAAGATGTACATAATAACATAATTACATGCTCCAACAAAATTTGAAAAATGCCTGTAAGTTAGTAAAGCTCAAATGTGCAGTCAAGTTTGATTTCAAAATTCCTAGTTCATCATGTATAAGAAATACTATATGTGCAATACGTTTCTTGGAGCAATTGAATAAAAAAATGGTGATATAGATGAGCATTTGTAGAGATAAAACAAGATGCTTAAAATAGAGTGCCTGTAGAGTGCCATGTGATGATAAAAGGCCTTGAAGCTTAAATGTAAATGTCATAAACTTGTAGTTAAACTTGCCATGGGCTCTGAAAATTCGTGCCTTGGCCTCTACTAAGAGAGTTTAGGATGCTTCTTGATCAAATTTCCAAAATGCATATTAGATTTAAGATAAAAAGGTACCTATAGATTTTGCTCTCATTTTGTGATCTGATTATTATAAGCATAAGCCCTAATGGTTAATCACCTCTACTGACGATGATGAAAGAGAAATTTTGATTAATGCTAATTGTTATATTTAGCATATAGTAGCATCAATTTAATATAAGATTCGAAAAGAGATCTAATTGTTATAAGCATAAGTGCTAATTTCACCCTCAATCCATGAAACTGATGAATCTCCTTGCAAGGACAATTTATAGCCCAACCAAGTACAAAGAAAAGAAATAATGCATGTTCACAAGCATTGCAAAAAGCTTTATGAATAATTTGCCATGTGACCATTAGCGTATCACACGTATTAACAGGTTAAAATAAGAATGAAATTTGAACACAATCATCAAAGCAAACATGCTAGAGATGTTTGCAGCGAGGAAAGAACGTAATTTGCGGCTTAGTAATGTAAGCTGACTGGAATAACTAGAAAAATAAAAATAAAAATAAAAAACTAAACAGAAGATCATACTTTCCCCATTCGGGAGGTGCATTCCAGGCAGACAACAGCATATCTGATTTGGCATTTGGTAGACAATTTCTAACAACGAAGGATTTAGTAGTAAACTGAGCAACACCAATATCCTTGTAATCACGGTCAAAGTCATAGATCTGCCAGCAAAATATCAAAATCAAAAGTCACAAAATAGCAAAATAACACGCCTAACTCCGAAAATGCATTAAAAGCTAACTAAATAGTTCTATAATAAAATATAATAAAAAAATGTAAGCCACAAACTTCTTCAATAAAGAAAATGCAAAATATTGAACAAAATAGTCTTAAACTAATGAATAGCGCTAATAAGTATTTCCATAGGATTACTGATGAGGACATCCATAGGAGATTTCGACACACCTACCATCGGAGGGGTCGTCGAGCGACGGCCATGATTCATAGTCTTTATTTCTGATGTTTTATTTTATTCATGTCATTTATATTTTATATTTTCCATTGTACCCCTATGAGGAAGTTATTGCATGTTGTAGCCCAAGGGCAATTTCGTCTTTATGATTTTTATTTTCGGATGGCCTATATATAGGCCTAGTATTGTATTTGGAGTTAGTTTTTGATGAATGAAAAAATTTGCTCATATGTTCTCTTTGTGAGTTCATTGCTCCTAGATCTCTTAGTGAGTTCTTCGGAGAAGATAGATCTCTTTGTGAGTTCTAGGTTTTCATCCAAGCTATCTTTGTGGGAATTTGGATTGAAGATAATTGAGGTGAGTGAATTCGTGGCCACTCGAATCCCTAGAAATTTTCCTTCTTCCTTCCCCTTGCTCCTTGCTACCGCCTCTCCCTGAGCCGTCCAGGCCACCGGCCACCTGGCAGCCGCCTCCCGCCGGCCGGCCAATACCACCCATTGGCCCTTGCCCCGCCCCCTTCCCCTAGCCGCCGGCCCACCTCCTTGAGTTTCAAAATTTGAAATTTCAAATTTTCAAGAGCCATAAAGGGTTTCCAAATTTAGCTCCTTAATTTTAGGCAATCAATTTAATTGAATTTCAATTTCAAATTTGAAATTCAAATTAATCCAATTGATTGTCCTCATATTAGGAAACTTTCCCCACTTAAGAAATCTAAAATTTTACTTCAGATTTTTATTAAATATGTGATTAAGTGTGGGCCCCATTTGATGCAATCAAAAATTTGGGAGAGGGACCCAAATTTTTTATCACAAAAAGAAAGACCTTTTTAAGAAAGAGAAACTTACAAAAACTAGACAAATTAAACAAACAAACAAACTTTTTATATCATATAAAAGGAAAGACTTACAAACTTGACTCTTATAAGACACTTACAATTTGGACGCTTACAAACTTTGACACAAACAAAATGACACCCTAAACTTGCTTACTTTGAGAAGAAGGATACAATAGAATGGTTACTATGGAGAGAAGAAAGAGATTAGGAGACGAGACGAAGATTGGAAAGAGCCCGCAGGATTTCCGAAGGAGGTGGAAGAGGGAACGGACAAAGCTCGCAAGCTTTTCCAAACAACAAACCCGCAGGTTTTATCTCCAAAAATCACTTACATAAACTTTCATTTAAACTTCTCAAAATATCTCATATATATAGGCCATAGAGGGGAAACATAACAGCCAAAAGTTCCCAAATTCCCATATAGAAATGAAAGGCCAAGAACCTTCCCCGCTGAAATCCCAAGAGCCACATCAAAATTCCAATGAATAAAGCCACGGAACCAGCCAGGAACAAGCACAAGCCACGGTTTCAGCACAGGAAACCAGGAGGCAATTCAGGGAAATCAATTCTCGGTCAAAAAAGAGGTGCCAGAGCAGTAAAGTAGGCAGCCACCCGAAGAGGCAGCAACAAACCCGAAGAGAGCAGCAGCCCGTGAGAGAAAAATCCAGAGAAGAAAAGCTGCAGCAACTCCAATTCAAGAAGAATGTGAAAGATCAAGTTCTACCCACCAAATCTTGCTCCCAACATTAATTTTATAACTAAACATCAACTCATCTCCTATTCATGTGGCCGGCCCCTTAATGGGCCCCTCTCTCTCTCCAAATTACATTAATAGCTCCACTAAATTAGCCCCAAACTTCTCCCTATTGTCCGCCCCCTCATCCTCTACTGGAATTAATTTGAAATCTTCAAATTAATCCCCTCCCACCCACTTAAACCTGAAATAATTTCAGATTTTTTTCTGTTTTTATTTCTTGGAACCTCTCTCTAGCCAAGCCCCTCAAGTACCCAAGTCAACCCAACCCTCCTCTTCCAACCCGCCACGTCCTCTCTCCCTCTTCCCCCTTTTGGTGCTTCTTTCTCTTCCGGCAAGGATGCATGTCGGATCCCGAAATTGATAGCGGATTGGTACTCGACATCTATGGAGACATCCACATCACCCGTTCACCGTTCTTTGACGTCGGGTTTGGCTCCGACTACACTGTTGAAGATTATTTGAACCGCATCCTTCTCACTCTCGTGGACGTCATAGACGATCAATTCGAGGACTACGATTGGACCATCAACGACCATCCACCCGCTTCCCCGCCTCCACCGCCGCTGCCTCCCTCGCCATCACTACAGATCGTTTACGCTGTCTACCTTGGAGTGATTTTGTTTCTTGTATGGTTCTTCTTCCTCCGACAACCCTAGATGTAGAAGAGTGACTTTGAGCCTCAAGGTAAGACGATTACTTTGTTAACCGTCGAATTCTAGTTGACTAATCATTTCATTACTTTTGTTTACGTTGTTATTTTAAAGTGCTTGCAAATTTAGTTGTAATGGATTGCCTAAGCATCGTTTGTTTCTTAGATCTTTCTTGATTCTTCAATTTTGAGACGCCTTAAGATTAATTTTATCATTACTCCAACAACTTTTATTAATCTTTAAGAAAACAATTCCTGGTTTCACATCAATTACAAATCACAAGAAAAGATATTAAGAAAATTTTATCTGAAATTAGAGATGATTCAATACCTTCGAACCCTGTTAAACAATTTGGGAGGTCATTCTTTGGTATAAGCCCTTTTGAAGAAATAACATGGCTAACATACTCAGAGTGCACCTAGAAAAAGGTTTCGATATAGATAAAGCTCATGAATAACATTTAAGCCTATTTGCAAAAAAGCAAGTGTTGGTCTGGTCATAGGGTGTAAGATGGCTTGTTCTAAATCCAAGCAGCATAAGTAATTAAAGCTCTGAAGATAAAATTCCTAATGAAAGGTGAAGATTATGGAGTCAACAAGAATGGACCACGAAATGGCAACAACAATATGTAGTTTGGCTATTTTAGAAGTCTACCTGTATCAATATCACACTTGCATCAATATATATTCTCTACTCTGAATTATCATTGTTCTATAACATATTCCGTTTTTTTTTTCTTGCTACTTTTTTCATAGCATTCTCTACATACCCAACTGTGCATTTGTGATGATAAACGGAGTACAAATTAGATCACTGCCAAGCTTCTCCTTTATAAAATGCTTATCCATTTCAACATGTTTTGTTCAGTCACATTGCACAGAATTATATTTAATATTGATGGTTGGTTTGTTATCTCACAAAATATTTTTATTCAACCATTAAATCTTCAAAGATAAATTTTAGCAATAACAGTACATAGATTCCTGGTGACATAAATCTAAATTTGGTTTCTGCATTAGATGTTACCACTGCATGAAGAAGTTGGAATAGCTCCAATAGTAGATATGATTAGAAAGTGTCACAAAGGATGATCGGAGAATATCTACTCATCCTTGAAGATCATACACGAATCCATGATCGTGCTCGGGATCAGTCATTCATGGATAAGAAAAAGATCACTAATGACTCCACCAATCTTCTTGAAGATTATAAGAGATTTTCTTCATTTGATTATGGAAAACTAAAGTTCAGAGTTAATTGTACATATATAGAATTAATGAAGACTATCAAGAAGATTTCAAAGGACTCCCAATTATCTATCATGTGTCACAACTATATCAAAATTTATCTTCATGTTATGTTATACGTTTTATAGTTGTTCAGAGTGAAAGTCATCTTTATCATTCATTCTAAATTTTGTTAGAGCGTAAGCTTAATGGAGGGTAGCTAAAAATAATTGAATCTCAAAAGCCTAGAAATTTGGCCCAAAAGCACTCAACATTTGGCTCAAATGGAAAACAGCTTAATTTGACTTCAAAGCTATGTTTAAGTCGATCACAAATTTGATCCAACAAGCCATATATAGTCCAAGTCAACAAATTTTCTTTCTCTTTCTAACTCCCCAAATACACACACCCTTTTACGCTTCTTTTTCCCATTGTATATCACGATGGAAGAAAAAAAAATACAACTCGAAAAAAAATAGCTATAAAGATCCCACCATTAAAAAGTTACGAAAGGACATCAAAGTAGCATAATCATATAGAAATTTTGGTTGATTCTAGGTTTAAAAATATTCAAAATGAATTTTAATGCTATAGGAAAACTATAACTACTCTATTTAACTATTGCATCATTGCATATATTGATATTGTGCACTCTTTGCATCTGATTTTGTGGCAAATTTTAGGTAGCATTTACAAAAGAAAAGAAATGGCATCTTTCCGCATGACTAGAGTTAATAATATAAGAGAAAATGGAAAGTTGACATGCACATCAACACATGCATAACACCTACCATATTGTCTAAATGCTATAAAAACGCTTGCTGAATAATTATATCAACACTCACCATGTCATTTATCTCTGCTTCTGCAAAAGATTTACCGTCTGCAAGCATACTCCATACAACCTTGTTAATTCTCATGGAAATTCTCATAGCACAGGAAGGGCTTTTATTCTTTTCCTTCTCCATTAATCGCAATTGTGCTGCCTTCTGTAGCGCCATCCTCAATGCTGAAGATGCCTCTTTCCTAGATTTTTGGGCATTTCCAAGCTCCTTCCTCAGCCCACGGATCTGACAGGTTGGAGAAAAACCTAAACTTAGATAAATGGATCACTATGAAAGCATAATTAGAAGAAAAAAAAAGTATTTTGCATGCATGTTTACTCGGAAAACGTTTCTTACATATTTCAGAGATATTTACTATAAAATGCTTGTATTTTGGTTGCTTGTTACTATTAGAGTATCCTTGACACATCATGCTTACAAAATCATGTTTAATATTAAATAGCATGCCATCCCCTTCTATATATACAAGGCCAAAGATAAAGTCGCAATAAGATGCTAATGATGCAAGTGTAATGAAAAATTTAGTCTAATTACAAGGAAATCCAAGTATAATTTCAATGAGCTTAAAATCATACCAATCTTAGTTTTCCACAAGACACCATCCATAAATCACTATCTCTATCTGTAAATAGAGTCAAATCACCTCCAATATCATTTGTAACCGACAGAGTCCGTATATCATCAAGAAATAACTTCCTTTCCCTCTCTTTTTGTTCAAGTTGGATTCTAGCAAGCTCTACTTCCTCCACACCATCAGGAACCACCTCATCAGCCTCTTCTTCAACATCATCATCATCATCAGCTGGGTAAGAGAGACTGCTTTTACGGGGTCTGCACATTCAGTAAAATCGATTTGAAATATCCATGAGTATTTTGAATGTGAAAATACCATAGAAGTTCATTATCGATAAATTAGTTTATGCAAACACAGCCATATAAAAACATTTTGAAAGTACCCATGTAAACTATACATGGATAATAAGCCAGAGATTCTGTAGGACACCATATACCATACAGAGGAAGCAAAAAAATACCAATAGAAATGGTAAGAAATTGATCAATGATACTACTAATACAACGTGAAGAGAACATCAACAGATGCAAAGATAGAAAGCAATTCCTTACTTGGGAAGTCGAGCAAATAGTAGATTGCTAAGCACATCCAACATAACCTGAAACTGACGTGATGTCATCGTTGCAGTAATATTAGGAGAATTGAAGATGAGCTCCTTTAAAGGCTTAACCTGAATTTGAGAAAATGATTTGCATTATTCAATCTGCAATTACATCTAGTAAACGCCATTTGATCCAGTATTGCAAAAATATCACACCTTCAACTCTGCCGTGCCTCCTTTGTGCCTGGTGTAACGAAAGTACATTTGGCATGGCATAAAAACTCTCTCAAGTAAAGCACCAGTTCGTTTTACTTTGGGTGAGCTCCTAAGAATTTTTGGCAACCACTGCAGGCCAGCACCAGGATCAACATCAGTAGGTGCCACATGAGCTTGAACATGCTCCAGCATCACAGAAAGCTCAGCACGCTTCCATGTCATCTCAGGTTCTATATCAGGAAATGAGGCACTGCTGGTTCCTAATGCCTGTTCAATCATCTCATACCCAACATGAAGAATAGAATGGAAAGAACGCGCCAAGACACGGCCACTGGCAGCAGCGAGAAGAAACCTACCCTGATACAAAACCAAGAGTTAAATTGAGAAAATTAGAACCAAAATATACATTCAAATAGCAAAATTTGAAATTTCTAATTAAGATTGAAACTCACTTTACATTTTTCCAAATAAAAAAGAACAAAAAAATGGTGGAAGATATATAGAGAAAGATCATACGACGTGAAAAAATGCAGCTCAACAAATTTGACACAATTTATTATCTTATAAACGCAATTTCAAAGAAAAGACGCCATGATGTCATATACCATCTTTTATTGAAAATCTCAAAGTATTTTTCATGAACTAATACAAAGAGAAATCATACACATGATTTCCAACGCACCTACTGGAAATGGGAAAAGAGAATTGGCCAAGCTGAAACAGATTCCACTGTTTAACTGGTAGCCAAAGTGATATGTAAATTGAGCTGAGGTACATACAATTTTTGCGTACTAAATTCCCCACATTTTTTTTTTCGAAGTCGCCAGGAAGTGCACAGTGCAATTCCTCTATCAAAAACCGCAGTGGTTTCTTGTTTACATGTTCAAGTGTTTCCTACATGCAAAATTTTTGACTTGACAGTTATCACAGGAATGCCAATGACCCCTATGTCCAGTGGGGACGTGCATGTGAAGCTAGTGGATCATCAGCAAATCTGCTTGAACTACATACTAGAATTGCAGAAGCTCGGATCATCTGCAAAACTGCTTTCATTTTCAAGATAAACCGAGCAAAAAAAACTGGTGTACCTATTTTTTCAAAATTATTTGGTTTAAATTAAACACAATGGATTGTTTTCATGTAAATGCTGTAAACTAATCATTCCTTTTTTCCCTGGATAGGTGCCTGATGGATTGATCAATGACAGTCCAATCAGCCTTGATATGCGCTTAGGTGAAAAATAAGGTAATCCAAGCTTTCAAATTTCCGGAGTATACAATTGCAAGCCTAATATAAAGGCTGAGAGTATAATCATCGCCTCCACTGCATACAAATTGATTATTTTGGATCTATGATGTGAACTCCATTTGACTTTTTTCCATCATTCACTTTACAGCTCTTAATTGGACACGGGTGCCATAATTGTAGTGATTAACTCTTCCTTTCTTTTTAAGGAACATTCAGCCCTACATTGTGCATTTATTAGGAAGAATAGGGCGGGCAAGACCTTCTCTCATCCTGTGTGTGTAAAAAAGTAACAAAATCATTAAACAGATTCTGAGTTTGGAAACCAATGCACATTGACTATTGTTTTTCAGGCTAGTTTTTCCAGGCATTGACATGGCAATCAAGGGCTATGCATTTTCAAGGGTTCCTTCAAATCTGCACTAAATATATTGACTTAATAACCTTTTGCATATAGATCGGAAACTCTGAACTTCAAACAATATTCAATTTGCATATCCGATAGAGTTATGTTAATTAAAATTTCCACCAAAATAGTAAGGTATCTTCCATGCAAATCTGGATCATTGCCTTTAGCGTTAAGTTATTATCGCAATAACAAGGGTATTTATATAAATAATTTAAATACATAGAAGAATAGAGAAGCAATCTTCATTTTAAGTTCATGATTTGCTTGTGGGAGGATGATGCAATCTCTCATCCAATTAATGAATAGTAGGGCTGCAAATGAACAGAGATTTTTACGAGCTACCATGGCTCGGTTCGATAAGAGCTTGTTCATGTTCATTTGATAAGGTAAACGAACGAGCTTGAACATTTTGAAAAATACTTGATAGCTAAATAAACGAGCTTCAACAACTTGGTGTGCGGTTCGTTTATGATGGGGACATCAAATCATCATGGAAAGTTTATCAGAGACGTGTCCGCCGATCTACGGCCACGATCGAGTCTTTATATTTTTGAGTCATTGATGTATTTTTATTTCATGTGTTTTGTTATTTGCTTATGTGGTTTTATTATTTCCCGTTGTACCCCTCTTATGGGAGTTGTTGTATGTAAGCCCAAAGGGCATTTGTGTCTTTTGTTTTGAGTCGGTTGTATGAGGCTATTTAAAACCCCCCTTTGTTCTATTTGAAGTTAATGAATGATTGCTTATTGAAATTCCTTCTTGCATGAGCATTATGTGCTTGAGAGTTCTAATGGAGAGAGCTTCCGAGGAGAGAAAGAAGATTGGCGCAATACCCACCAACCTAGATAAGTTGGATTCGTGGTTCCTTCTCGTATCTCTTTTCTTTTCTTTCTCTTTCTCTTCCCCTCCACCCACCTAGCTGCTGGTTTCTTCACCTCATCCCCAATCAAAACCCACGGTCCACTCACTACCCGAGCCCCTTCACCCCTCCCAAATTCCACAGCCAGACCCCACCCGACCTCCCTCCTATTGGCTGCCGGCCATAAGCCTTAGCCACCAGCCACACCCAAGCCCACTACCATCTCTTGAATTTCCTAGTTGGGTATGAATTAATTAAGGGATAATTCCGGAATTTCAAATTCTTTGAATTTGAATTCAAAATTATTTCCTAAAATAATTCTCTTAATTTAGGAAAGTTTTTATTTTAATCTAATTTGAAATCAATGTTTAAAATTGCGTATTCGGGTACTGAGGCGTTTTTCATTCGTGAGGCGAGGCGTAAGCCTCAAGGCGTTTTGAGGCGTAAGCCTCAAAATCAAAAGATCGCGTAAATATAAAATGATAATTTTTTTATATTCTAATGAGTGAATAATATAAAACTTAAAAAAACATAAGATATGAAGTGAAATCAAAATATCTCAATAATAAGACAACATGAAATATAGTTCAACTCAAAATTCCATCATTCCCAAATCCCAGTATTCTTTTCATTAACATATAATTCCAATTTCCAAAAATAAATAGCAATAACATATCACATAAGAACTCATAAGTCATCAGCACTGTCATCACTAAGGGGTTCTTCATTTGAATCATCATTATGGTGAACTGCTCTCTCCCCTTCCTCCTCTCCTATAGAGTCCAATGTCGGGCATTTACTTCAAGATTTATGTAAGTTTTGATATATATAGCGTGAGGCGTAAGCCTCATGCCAGTGAGGCGAGGCGGGTCTCAACCAAGTTGAGGCGCAAGCCTCATAAAAAAACTCGAGGCGTTTTTTACTGGAATTGCGCAAAGGCGGGCCTCAAGGCGAGCCTCATATTGCGCAATTTTAAACCATGTTTGAAATTGAAATTCAAATTGGATCTAAAATAATACTTTCCAAAATATCATACCTAAATTCAAGAGCCTTAATTATCCTAATTAAACTCCCCCATGGCTTAAACTTGCCGCCGGCCACCTTATATGGTTAATTAGGATTTATTTCCTAGTTGACTCCTATTCCCCTTTAGAGTTATTTCAAATCTTTCCCCACCATCCAGCTGAAATTTCCCTTACCCTTCCTAATTCATTGGATTTCCTAATTTAAGAAATTAAATTAGGAAATCCAAATCCCCCTCCACCGTTTATCATCCAGCCACTCCTCCTATTTCCCCTTTTCATCATGCCGCCCCTCCCTCTCTCTCCAATCATCTCTCTTCCCCTCCTTAGGCTAAGTAATTGGATGCCTTGAGTTCACTTCTTCCAAACCCCTAACCCGACATCAATTAATCTGAGAATTCTCTCAGATTTCTGGAGAAAAATCTGAGCTCACTTTAAGGTTTTGGGGAATTACACTTGGAAGTTGTTCCCCTCTTCGTTATTAGAGAAACTTCTTTCGCTTGGCCACTAATCGAAGGGAGCACCAACTACCAAGGAGATTCTACCTTCAATCATTCATGAATGGCGGATCCGGCAACTGATTACAGCATAACTTGGGATGAAGACGGCTACGTAGATATCCTACAATCTACGTTCTTCGACGTAAACCCAAGAGTTGATTTCACCGTCGAGGATTACTTGGAGCGTACATTGATATACTTGGTAGAGGCTATCGACGAACATTTTGAAGGCATTGAATGGAGAATCTCCACTAACCCTTGACGAAGGTTTCTTCTCTCTCGAGCATCTTATTCCTTTTAGTCTAAATTCTCGTTGGTTTGATTGTAGTCATGACGGACTCTTCCATTTGCTCTCGCTTAAGCTTAGTAATTGTAGAATTTGAGCGTATCTCATTGCATCCTAATTCTTATTGTTAGATTATGGATTAATTTGAAAACTACTACTTGGTGTTGTTTTATTTTCTTATTTGTCTTGAAAGTTTCAAAACTCGGAATATGTGATTTAGCCTAAGCAAATATTCTCCTTGTTTTGATTCTTCGTTCTGAATTGCTATTAATTTTATTCTAATATTATTCTAATCACGAGTTATGCAATGTCTAAATGATTCCATAATCATCTCATCTAAGTAGTCCTGCATCAGTTTATATTCATGAACGATATCATTAATTGATGTGAAACGTACATGCATGGATGAATTGCTTTAAGGAGTTTGCACACGTAATATTCCTGGAACAAAGAATTATATCTTAATGCTGAATTTAACGACGCAATAAAACACTGAGAGCGGTAAGACGAGCTTAGGACGAATCACGTGCATAAAAGTTAAAATCAGAAAACATTCAATTTAATCTAGCGTTGCATACATGGATAGTTTCAACAATAAATCCTATGCTAACAATAAGATTAGTCACTACAAGAGATCCCTCACTCAACTCTTCTAATTACTAGGCTTTAGCGGGAAGCATTAATGTGATCATCATGAATCTATTAAGACCACAATGGAGAAGCAACATCGAAGATAAAAGTGTCGGGTGAAGAGTTTACCCAAAGACAAGAGAGATGCGAGCTCCGGGTAAGTCGTTGGAAGGTTGAAATGAAAGGGGACAGCAGTTCGGTTGGAAAGACAGCATCAGAGAGGTTCAGGATCCTCTGGACAGCAATCTTGGCACGTTGGAAAGTTCTGGACAGTCACCCCGCAGTTTCCAGAAAATCTGGACAGAAAATAGAGGCCTTCCGGATGGCGACACAGCATTAGGAACCTGCTGGAACCTTTGGGCAGCAGCTGTGGGGCTTCAGGACAGCAAACCGGAGGTTCTAGGAG